ATTTAGTAGCCACATCGTACTTTTAGTAGCCAATAAAAAATGAAAGTAGCCATACCGACAGCGCGAGCCCCGATACTGGTCCACCAACTGGTACCCAATTAACTTACTGAAATGCAGTACATGTACATGGGAAAGTGTACATATACAGGTGTACACTGGATAAAAACTTACATTAAGACACGTACCATAACTGCACCTATGAAATTTGGTAATAGAACAGATACAGTATGCCAATTACGAAATACAAAGCAATAAAGAACATTGTAACGGTTTCAAATAGATAGTTAAATACAGGGACTTTTATAAATTAAAGAAATTTATGCTCTTTGTATCAAAAACAAATAATGACATAAACAAGAGATCCCAGAGGGATCTTGGCACCCACCTTTGTACCATCTTCATTAGTTCTTTGTCAGTACGATCTTTTCTCTTCTTTCCTCTAATCTGTTTGATCGAGTCATGTTAACAGTAAATGCACCTTGAGGTAACTTTTGATCTAAACTTAATACTGATGTGTATGAAAGCCAACCTTCAAAGTGAGTTTGTCATTTCACATATTTACTAGTACAGTACTTAACGTGAAAGAAATAGAATCGTTCATTGCAATATGAGAAAGATCTGTTTAGTTCTTCTTTTAATCCATTTTGTTTTTATGATCAGTCTCAAAATATAACATGCACATCGAGGGATCAAGGGAAACCTACATTTGAAATTTGAGAAAGATCCCTCCCGTACTTCCTGAGAAATAGCGATAACAAACTTTCACTATCAAAATCCAAGATGGCTGCCTGTCGGCCATGTTGTTTATCCGATTAATCTCTAAAATTGCTTTGCACAGTTGGGACCAAGGGGAACCTACATATAAAATTTAAGAAAGATTCCTCTTGTTCTTCCGGAGAAATAGCAGTAACAAACCTACACTAATCAAAATCCAAGATGGCTGCCTGTCAGCCATGTTGTTTATCCGATCAGTCTCAAAAGTTGCCCTGCACAGCTAAGGACCAAGGGGAACCTACATATAAAATTTGAGAAAGATCACTCTATTGTTTCTTGAGAAATACTGATAACAAGAATTGTTTAAGGACGGACCACGGACGCAAGGTGATTTGAATAGCCCACCATCAAATTATGGTGGGCTAAAAACTGAATGGAGTCATTTGTTATTGTAATCACACAACGTACCAGTTTTGTAGATTACACCATATTATCTTATGTCTGTCATGTGTATTGTTTAAAGTTGATCTTGAAATAGCTCAGTGCTACGCAATTACATTTTATATAACATATATCCTTTTTGATTTTGTTGCTATCAACGAATAATGAATAATTAGATAATATAAACTACTACTGTTGTCATAAAAACTGAAGTTGTCCTTATAACCATACTAAGGTATGTTATTTCAGCACAAACTCAAATCTGTTTGTCATATAATCTGGCTGTACATCTACATCCCAACTTCCAGATCATCTGATCATGAAATCAATACAAGTCGTATTTTCAGTATTTCTGGGTAGCTTACGGTAAATTTACTGTCATTATTTCACACATAGATCCTATCATTATCAATATAAGGCAATCATACATAAGTAAATTTTAAAGCTCAAACAAAGGTCCAATTGTTTAAGAAGGAATACCAATTTCCTAAATATATTCTGGTATTGCAAAATTTCACTTGTGCAATTTCACAACAAAAATTGACAAATATACCAGTTTGGTATGGGGGTACTAGGTGTGGTATATGATGGTACCAGCTAGGTATGATGGTACCAGGTGTGGTAGGGGGTACCAGGTGTGGTATGGGGGTACCATGTGTGGTATGGGGATACCAGGTGTGGTAGGGGGTACCATGTGTGGTATGGGGGTACCAGGTGTGGTATGGGGGTACCATGTGTGGTATGGGATACCAGGTGTGGTATGGGGGTACCAGGTGTGGTATGGCGGTACCAGGTGTGGTAGCCTAGGGGGTACCAGGAATGCAGTGGGTAATCGAAATACATATGTGTGGCGCTAAGTTACTGTCCCTGCCTATATCTGGAGTAGCGCCACTGATTTGTGGTATAGCGAATCAGTAAATTGAACACCAGAAAACGATGACTTCCATTCAAGCAGTGACAGATGACGAAATATTCAGGTAAGTTATCAGATTACAATTTTTCATTATACACGGGTATATATACTAGCTTACTAACCAACTATGATTTGGTCACTGGATATGTTTTAGTTTGTCAGGCTTAGGAAGATAATCAGACCTGTACTACTCCCGCAAGCCAATGTTTACATTTTCATGTGGTTAATGCCAACCAAATTAGACTTACTTCGGAACACTTTCGACACGCAATGGATCGGTCTTTGTATGAAACACACAGTGTCAAACATCTAGTGTTTATAGTTGAAATAACAAGGTTTTTGGCTGTTCTGTGCTTTTTTGAAAGCGATGGCTGCATGGGGTGGAGGCGATGTTCGTATTACGCCTCGATCGAGCGCAAGTATTTTGCTGTTTATCAGTTGTCTTGAGATTTTGTTAGGTAGACAACTTCAGCCATCAGAATGTCACAATTCTTAGAATAATTGAACAAACTCAAAGCTGTCATGGAACATTATTAGCTGATACCCACACAGCTAAGGACCCATGCAAATCTTTCTGAATGATATATCACTCTAGTAATTGGGGATTTGATTTTAGAAATAGACCTTCATGTCTAAGTCAGTGGGGAAAAAGTTTACATAATATTAATGATGTATACTGTTTGAGGAAATTATGTCTAAATAGGGCACTCCATTCATCTTTTTACACCCAGCACCCTTATAAAATCACATATGGTTGCTTGAATTATTCTTAAGAAAACTGAAGTAAGGGTAAATGAAGCTTGTTAGTTCAGCCCCAAAAAGTGTTAAATCACAGTCCTGGAATCACAAATGATACAGAAACTGAGCAGACCAGTTCTACTTCATATTTGTCGTCAAACACAAGTGTTCATAAATCAGAGATTCGTGTTCAATGGTACCTGTGTTGTCAGCAAGTTGGATCTATCATACCATGGAACACAGTCCTTCCCAGCAAAATGATCATCTCCATGACGTTTTTACTGTTAATCATTTCAATCTCGCAATATTTGTATTTTTGTGATCGTTCACATAAACAATACATTCAGCATTGTCTCATAAATATTCAATTCACAATTCAATATTAAGAGATCAAAAAGCGGCCCATTAGTATTCAATGCCGTCACTTTCAAAGTAAGTAAATATATCAAATTCATTAAACAACACTAATATTTAGCCATCAGTGATTTTGTTGTTTGCTCAGTTTTACAGCCGAATACAGGCTGTTTCCCCTAGCTAAAAAAGGTGCCTTATTTTCCCAAAATGACCAATAAATGAGCAACATATGTCAATAAAAATAATGCTGTATTTTCCCAATTAATAAAGGAACAGGCTGTTGAAATATTTTTGGTAAAAAACCCACACTGGGTTGTAATCTTGCTGAACGAGCTGTTCCGATGCTGCACCAACCCATCAACTAAAACTATGATCTGAAAATCACGAGAATGAAATGATTTACAGTACTGTGTGTTTTAATGTTATTAAAGTCATCAAAGTTATACCCGTCTGTGTTCATCCATCTTGGCTCAAATTGTTCATCTTTGTACGTATACATGTTCTGAAGAAAATGTTGTAGTCAGAGATTGATATCAGTTAGCTGTCAGGGTTTAGACAAATTCTTTGGTCATGATTTCAAAAAATATCAAGTGCAATGGAATTACTTCCTAACATCAAACAGCTTGTAAGCTAAACTTAAGGTAATAGGATTGTGTCACCATTTCTCAGTAGAATTTCTTCAAATTTTGTAATTATATTGCTTTGAAGTAAAGAAAATTTTCTGCCACAAAAAAATATAGGTTGTCAGAATTTTGAGGATTTTAAATGGAAATTTATGTAAAAAGGAGTGAATTTTGAAAAAAAATGAAACACACAATGTTTTGCAAAAACATGTCAATAAAAATGATACTGACATAGATTAGTATTGCATTAATGTATATCAATTTTATAAATGATGAAATTGTGTATAATTACTTATCTATAAACGATTAAAAATTGACATTTTATAATAAAACCATATACACATAGTAATTGCATGGAAGAGTTATCGTTCTTGAAAAACTTCACAGTAGTGAAATAGGTAGCTGGTTTCCTGAAGTACAGAACAATGGACACATGTGACTCATTGATGAAAAAACAACTGAATTAATGCCTGGATTGCTTTGAAATACTTTAATATTGAAAGAACACAATGTTCTGTCAATAATAAACATGCAATATTCATCAGTTTAATATTAAACATTATAATATGCGGAAATTGTGATACTGTCTCCCTACATTGGATTTTCAACTAGGGATGTACTTCCTATTTCCGTTAAGCAATACACTCCTATGACCTTAATATGTTTTAATCACATTACAATAAGAATTTTGTATCAATAAAGCTTAAAAGTAATAATAATCATGAGGGACCTTTCCCTAGCTTATACAGTCTTTGTCCTTTGTAGCTGATATCATTCTCTGTGTGTTTCAATCTGGCTAACACAAACATATCACATTATTCCACACATCAGTGTAACACATTAGCTGCTGCCATACATGGCCGTTCTAGTCACCTATCATGATCAGCTGACCTTTTAATTAGCATTACAAGAATTCAACTTAAGTGGATGTTTTACCTGCCCCTGCTGGCAGCCATGCTGATTTTCAAATTTGAATCAAAATCAAAGTTGAGCAGGCTGTGTGATCAGGACACACATGAAAATGAAGCAAATTATATAAAATCATATATCTCAAATTTATAAATTGAACGATCATGGTAACTAATTTCAGTTCTGAACAGAACAGGTCCATGGATTGAAGCAACAGTATATCCTGATGTAAAAATTAACCTGACCAATGTGATTCACCAGACTGTGTATGTAGATAACAAAATCAACTATATAACAGCAATCCCTACCTTGGCTTGTTATCGTCTCCAATTTCTGATGAAGTTCCCAGATTCATCGCCATCTCAGGAATAGATTTTACAATGTTTTTGAGCACTTTAGTTGCATCTACACCTCCTTCACCTGAAGCCCCTATATCACCCGAGTTCACATCCTCATTAACCCCAACTGAGTCTGTTTCAGAAGTCTGTGATGTGCGCTGAGCACTGGGATGGAATGACTTTCGTTTAAGTGATGGGCGTTTCTGTAATGATGGGGGAGGTGGAAGAGCAACAACCATTTTATTGCCTCTGCTAACAGCTTCTTCATCAGGAAATGGTCGCGTGTCGTAGGGTGCCTGTCGCACAAAGTCTGTGGTACCACTGTAGCCTTGTGATTCACTTGTATCCTCACTGAAGCTAGCATCGTCCTCATCATCGTAGTCCGACATCGGCTCCTCCTTGACATGCATCATTAGAGGATCCGCACCAATGTTCCTGTCATCATGCTGGCCCTCACTAAGTCCAGATGATGCCACATTGGAAACAGAACGACCCCCACTAACAGAATGACCTCTACCACTGTCCTTCATTGCATCAGGCTNATGTTTTAATCACATTACAATAAGAATTTTGTATCAATAAAGCTTAAAAGTAATAATAATCATGAGGGACCTTTCCCTAGCTTATACAGTCTTTGTCCTTTGTAGCTGATATCATTCTCTGTGTGTTTCAATCTGGCTAACACAAACATATCACATTATTCCACACATCAGTGTAACACATTAGCTGCTGCCATACATGGCCGTTCTAGTCACCTATCATGATCAGCTGACCTTTTAATTAGCATTACAAGAATTCAACTTAAGTGGATGTTTTACCTGCCCCTGCTGGCAGCCATGCTGATTTTCAAATTTGAATCAAAATCAAAGTTGAGCAGGCTGTGTGATCAGGACACACATGAAAATGAAGCAAATTATATAAAATCATATATCTCAAATTTATAAATTGAACGATCATGGTAACTAATTTCAGTTCTGAACAGAACAGGTCCATGGATTGAAGCAACAGTATATCCTGATGTAAAAATTAACCTGACCAATGTGATTCACCAGACTGTGTATGTAGATAACAAAATCAACTATATAACAGCAATCCCTACCTTGGCTTGTTATCGTCTCCAATTTCTGATGAAGTTCCCAGATTCATCGCCATCTCAGGAATAGATTTTACAATGTTTTTGAGCACTTTAGTTGCATCTACACCTCCTTCACCTGAAGCCCCTATATCACCCGAGTTCACATCCTCATTAACCCCAACTGAGTCTGTTTCAGAAGTCTGTGATGTGCGCTGAGCACTGGGATGGAATGACTTTCGTTTAAGTGATGGGCGTTTCTGTAATGATGGGGGAGGTGGAAGAGCAACAACCATTTTATTGCCTCTGCTAACAGCTTCTTCATCAGGAAATGGTCGCGTGTCGTAGGGTGCCTGTCGCACAAAGTCTGTGGTACCACTGTAGCCTTGTGATTCACTTGTATCCTCACTGAAGCTAGCATCGTCCTCATCATCGTAGTCCGACATCGGCTCCTCCTTGACATGCATCATTAGAGGATCCGCACCAATGTTCCTGTCATCATGCTGGCCCTCACTAAGTCCAGATGATGCCACATTGGAAACAGAACGACCCCCACTAACAGAATGACCTCTACCACTGTCCTTCATTGCATCAGGCTGGTTAGACTTCTTCTGTAATGCTGCTGATAATTTGTCTAAGTTAATTCGTGGACGTTTACTTGGTGTTGTTTCAATTTCTGGTTCTGCACTTTCTCGTTTCATCTCATTTTGGATTTCTGAAAATATGATTTGTAAGCTAGAATTTGTCATTTTGAGACTGTAGTCTGTCGTGATTTTATCAGCAGTACCTGTTTCCTTATTTGAATCTCGGAATTCTTGGCAGAATTTCTGGATGCTAGTCACCTTGAGAATTTTTGTAAGTTTTTCCACAGATCTGAGGTTTGCTGAAGTGAGGTGCAAGACCCCATCATACAGGTAGGTGAGGAAGATGTTGAGGCCCTCTAGACCAACGGTCATTGGCAGCTTCACCTCCAGAATGGACACTTCATGCTGACCACCCACAGTCAACAAGTATGGACAGGCTGCCAATAACACAAGGCGGTGAACCTAACACACAAACAACACAGCATCAGTGTCAAGGTTTCATTATCCAATTAGCAAATTCACAAGCTTTTCTAAAAGAAAATCAGAAATCAAAGTTGCCTTTGATCACCGCCTATGAACTTAACAAAATATTTTGAATCATAATATATCATTGATTTTAGTTTCCCTTAATTCTTACATTTATTTACTGTATTTAATTCCCCTTCCTATTCAAGTTTTTATTTAAATGTTAGTGCACAGATTTACGCAAACTGATTACAAAAACATATATTACCCATCAATGCAAGTCAGCAACAACAAAAAAACACCAAAAAACTTTGAAATGAATTATACCACTGATGAGAAACAATAGTCTTCATCTTTATTTCCACATAGATCCCTACCAAAATACTTTAACAATTGCCCTTACTTTGAATTAAATTTTCCATAGTCAAGAATATAAATTAATTTTTCAAATTAAGGGGAAAATATCTAAAATTAATCTAATTTCCAGTGAACTTGTCAATACATACGTAAACCTTGACCGGGCCGACCTCTATAGTGGCATCACAGAGTTTTTTGTCACGCCACAGTTCTGACAGCTGGTACAGGACCTGGCTTGAGTGGTCAGGGTTGACAAATACTTGTTCCAGCATTGGAGTGTGGGTCAGTCCGCCAGCCTCAGTAGCCATGATCTGAAACCCCTCTGTAAGGTTGAAACAAGACAAATTTAACAATTAAGGCAGAAACAAATTATAATGACTTACAGGTAATGTTAAGAAATGTATAAAAACTTCATCTCTTCATCATCATAACATTCTCTGTCAATATTGACGATTACTGATTATCCTTCTGTTGAATTTGTTCACATGTACTGTCTTTATTGAAATTAGAAATGTCAACTCTCTTGCAACTTCTGACCATAATTTTGTTCCTGACAAATCATATATGTAACATTTAGCACAGGCAATTGTAAATAATTAAAATCTTGATATCAGAAACTGTTAGCAAGAACCTTATCAACAAGATGCATCAACCTTTAGCATTTGTAAACACATTCTTGTGTTTTACAAATAATTCAGTATATGCTGGCACTATAACAATTGTTTTTTTCTGGGTATTTTTGGAATTTTTCAAAAGTGTAATTTCGGGAACGCTTTAACCCTGAAAAACATTTGATTTTACAAATACACTTTGTATATATACAGAAGTTCTATATGCAAACTAAGTTTTCTTAATTAGATTATGGCTTAATTTTTGGCTGCAGTTATTTGAATATGAAATTGAAAATAGTTCACAACTATTTAGGAAATGAATTGTCCAATCTGCATTGGCATTGCTTTTTCTATCTAAATTTAACAGCAGCCCGTTAATTACCACATGAATTGGGAAAATATTACACATAATCGATAACAGAATCAGAAAGAGCAAACCAATCAATTTTCAATTATAATATTAATTGATAATCAGCCAATCATTAGAAAATAATATGTAGCATATTATTTTATTGAAATTGGAAAGACATCTTTTCTTCATTTTGGGTAAAATAAGATTTTTTTTTCGCTAGGGAAGCAGCCTGATGTATCTGGCTCTGAATAAGGCAAAAATCAGCTGAAAGACACTGCCAACATATATTATATCAGGACTGATGAAAATTTAGCAATAATTGTACACAACTTAGTCAGATTAAGTGACACTCTGTGCTTCTTAAAATTTGATTCAACATGATCAAGATCAGTACACATGTCTACTTTGGGACAGTGTCGTGTACTTGGATTCTTTATCAATATAGATTATCTCTGCATCAAAGTGACAGTCAATTATTTCACAGCTAGTGATCAGTTGTGATATCAATTTGCTGTGGCAATGTTCACATTACATGCGAAAATGTGACTAATAACCACCAGATACAGATGTGGAAATAAAGACATACACATTTTGTAATATAATAATGTTTACTTCTTTTACGGGTTTTAGTTATTTTTCTGCTTGTTCTTAATTGTAGACACATATTTATTTAGACAATGGTCAAATGCAAGACTCTTGATATCGGTGGTGATTTTCACACTATCGTTATATTCTTTTTAAAATGGACATACTGTTGTAAGCGTGCTATTCTGAAATAGCACGCTAGTGTGGGTATAAACTTGAAGGGAACTGGGCTGAGATTCCGGCCGGGTACAACTAAACCCGCGGAACATTCACTGAAGAAAATAGGAGTTGAATCATCAGATTTAGAATTCTGCCACAATGCTGCTGTTGATAAGCTACCGAAAACCAAAAAAAGTAAATGCATGCCTTCCTGCAGAAATTTGGATCAGTGTGTCAGTGCCTCAAACATTCTTGTCTAGTTTCTTCATCCTTGCGCCATGGTCAGTCGGCCATTTTGCTTCTTTGTTCGGTAGATTTGGGAGACATTATTTTGTATACGAGGAAAATCTTCCTCATCGAATATTATATTTGTACGATTACATAGACATGTGCATCGATTAATTATCTTTTTATTATTTGGTTGTTAATGGTCATTTTTGGGTAAATGTTTGCGACCAATAAATGATACGCTTAACATAATTCAATATTGATTTGCATTATAATCATTACACAACCGGTCCCCCGTACTAAAATTATCAGCCAATGAAACTTATATATTTGCTTCTCCTACTGAATATGCAAATGAAGTGGAATCCCTTCCTTCATTTCAAGAAGGCAATTTATCTTGTGGAATATATTAGTATTTTAACATATTATACATCTCACAGTCCTTCTTATGGGTAAGTTTATATCGAAAAAATGTTATACGTGACATCAAATGTGTTGTCACAGTTAATATTATTCATTTTCTGTATTTTATCGTGGATTTGGTCCGTGTTATGAGATCGAGAAGATTGCAGTGCTCATGAACGGAGCCATTTTGTCGATTTGGGACAAGAATTATATCCATATGTAACATTTCTCGAAAATATGTTGTTATGTGTAGTTAATGCTTGTCCGTAACGTGTTCATGAACAACGGTCAACTTACTTTATGTTTTCTGCGTGTGCTTGGACCAGCATTATAATTCTTGCACAGCCAACAAAGTACTTATTTGATACGAAACATAATTTCATTCTGGTTGAAAATGGGGTCAATTCTCAAGGTCACAAAACTGTAGTCTGTATTATATTTCATACATGTAACCACATTCAATTAACATAAAATGACCAGAAATGAAAAGGCCGTATCAAGTCAAAACAATTAAAGAAAAACTCCAATGCCGCCAGTGTTATTAATACAGCTTATAAATATAATATTAATTTAATTAAAGCCATTTTGGTCTCTTTTGAGTATAAAACATAGATAGATAGAATTATATAACAAGCAAGTATACACGTGCACTAGGCCGATTGAGCTATAATTTCTGAGATTTCAATTTTCATTAAATCAAAGCAAAGTCGCATAAAACAATAAGGTTTATGGTAATGTTGACTACAAAAAGTATACATTTAGATGTTTATTTTCATATTTCATAAATATGTAAAATTTCCGATTTTTTTACATCATTATTTTTTAAAAAGAATACTTATATTTAATGTCTTTTGTTATCAACTTAATGATAAAATCTTATTTTAAAAGCGAATTTGTTTCGTTTTCCTTCAACAAGAAAATCACATGAAAATAACTCAAAAGACCTATTTAGGATAGGTCAATAGAGCTGTTATAGGTCTTTACAGCTATATATTTACATATGCATGGCATTGTCACTATATAGCCTCATTGAAAGCTGTGTCGTTGATGGGACTTTAATTACCATGCATCACGAGACACAATTCTTAGCGTATTAATACAACACTGACTGGAACTACAATATCCAATATAAATAAACATGACGGCTGCTGAAATATCGCTGGGCATTGTGAGATTTGACAATGTCATTGTAAATTTATGTGCAAAATAAAAAAAAAAACTTTTATTACAACGAAAACAAGACCAAGGTCTAAAATATTGTACAAAATGCACATTGGTTGAAATCACCGATGCCGGCAATGGAAACAAATTTTAACGCTCATGCAATTTATCAGAAATATCGTCGTGTTACACTGCACTGATCAACAGGGGTTCGTTACAAATGTCTGAAATACATATATTCTATAGACCTACTGACACATATGTTACAGACCTACTTATATGAGTCACAGCACACATAAACATTTCAGACATTTGTAACGAACCTGTGCTCCATCGCAAGATCACTCACTTCAAATGCTATCGGTTTCACGCGTCTCGCATCCACGGTTCCTCAGTTTCTGACGACATGTCAAATAATGAGGCTGTTATAGAATCTACCGACCAGCATTCTTCACAAAATAAGCAAAGAGAAAAGTTTGAATTAACTTCCAAAAATAACTCCCTCGTGGAGGGCATGGTTAGATTTCCGGTGTTCACTATATTTGTCCATGCGCGAAATTTGTTCCGGGGAAAAATGGAAACAATTTCAAATCTAACTTTCAGCTCAGAGTTCTATTGCTAAACTTAAATCACCCTATATACATATCATAGCTAGCGCGCATTATGTTGTTTGCTTGCAAAGCTGAGTCATTCAAATAGATCATAAATACCATACAACAGTTCAATGCTTAAATAGCTCAATTGGCAGTGTGTACTGGACCTGACAAGGTAGATGTCTATTGTGTCTTAATTTATTCTTTGTAATGTGCAGCATGTTCAAAATTAGGGGTGTCACAATTAGCCAAGAGTGTATCACGATTTCTTGCATACTAGACCGAGATATCCGCATTTCCGGCAGTGCTGGAAAATTCTATCTGACCCACTGGTCTCGATCGCTTACACGTGCAGACTGGCGACAGAATTGTAGCGATCTTTCGGGTCAAGCTATTGTTTATGGCGTCTTTTATGACGTTTTTGGGTTAGTCAGGGTCATTCACAATTGCCACTAGTGCTCAGCATATGCAAAATGGAAATGCGTGGACAGTTTGTTTTTACGGGTTTTAGGTAAAAAGCAAGAAATAGAATCCATCCCTGATGTGAGGTAAGGATAAGGTAATTCAAATTTAACCATCGGGATAAAATATTGAGCAAAAGACCCTTGGCAAAGCCTCGGGACTCCTGTTCAACATTCTATCCCTTGGGTTTTAATTTACTTATATATATCCATACCTCACATCAGGAATGGATTCTATCAATATTGCAATACAGAATGAATATATTGCGATACGTGTCCTGATATATTGTCATAGGAAGGACGTGCTCAATTTTATAATAACTATATATTAATAAAGATTACTTAGATTTCAGATTTTTGTCAAACCAAGCGTCGATTACAAAATTTGAACTAAAATAAAAGCCTACTTTGTGCTTATTGGCATATCTGTTGAAATTTGTAGTAATTTGTAAAGTTAAAACACCAAGCAGATATATAAGAATATGCTTTTGAAAAATATTGCGATACAGCAATATTTCATCTCTGTATTAATTGTGGTACATGTACCATATGATATACCCGTGTATTGCGATATACCTGTTTCCCGATATATTGTGATAGCCCTATTCAAAATTGACTTGTTTTTTTCTAAGTTCACTCTCTCTTTCTGGGATCTCATTACCTCATTCAGCTCAAGTGGCCAAAAAGACCCAGGCGAGCTTTTAGGTTGTGCTTTGGCATTTGTTTAGCTTCCATTGTACATCAACCTCAATTCCTTTAGATATATATATGAAGGGAGACATATTGTATTAGTACTGGTGTGCAGTGCACTGAAATTAGGTCTCATGCGTCACTATATACAGAGTTCTGTCCCTTTGTTTAATTTTCATACCGAAGTTTATCCGGAGCATAAGTTTCATGTTATTTCACCTACGTTGACCAAACTTACCATATTTATGTATCTTGGGAGGCGGAATATCTCGCACTAAAATCAGGTTTTAATGCCCCACTATATACAGAGTTATGGCTCTTTGTTTATTTTAAGACCAAAGTTTGTCCACAGCATAACTTCTAACCCATTACAGATATCTTGATCAAACTTGAAGTATACCTGCAGCATCACCCACAGAAGGTGCGCAGTGCACTGGAATAAGGTCAGTGTGACCTTCACCTCAAGGTCAAAGGTCAAATAAGTGCAACATTTTCAGTAAATTCTTGTCTGGCCCATACATTTTTAACTGTTAAAGATATCTTGATCAAACTTCAACTTTACCTGCATCACCCACAGAAGGTGTGCAGTGCACTGAAATTAGGTCTCGTGCTACACTATATACAGAGTTATGGCACTTTGTTTGATTTTAATACCGAAGTTTGTCCGGAACATAAGTTCCATGTTATTTCACCTACGTTGACCAAACTTACCATATTTATGTATCTTGGCAAGGTGGAATCTCTCACACTAAAATCAGGTTTTGTGCCCCACTATATACAGAGTTATGGCCCTTTGTTTATTTTAATACCAAAGTTTGTCCACAGCATAACTCCCATGTTATTTCACCTACGTTGACCAAACTTGCTATAGTTTTAATGTATTTTGGGAAGTAGGAGTGTCACATTCTCAATGTGGGTCTCGTGCCCAACTATATAAAGAGATATGGCCTTTTGTTAATTTTATATTTTTATGCCATACCGCAGCGTCCGGCGTCCTGGCCGAGACATACCAGAGTCTGTAAAAATGGTAGTTTCTACTCCTGCTTAACGCTCAGCAATTTAGGAGTGGGACGACTGGTTTGCCCGTTGTCAGTATAATGTGACAGGGTGGGGTGTCCTGCTGAGTGTCTTCAGCAGTATGTTTCAGTAAGGTACAGTAGCACTATAAAGTTGGCATCAGTTCCCCGCTATCACAAGGAGACAAACACAAACATATCGCAGCCTCCCAAAACACATACTCATATACTACACGCATGCATCTTGCACACAGGGGAGGCTGTCCTTAAATGACCATAGCTGTTGATAGGACGTTAAACATTATTAAACCAAACCAAGCCAAACCCCCCTGGGGACCGTGGAGCAGGGCCCAATAGGGGAAACAGATATAAACCTTTAAAATCCTTCTTCTACCATAGGTAATAAGGGATTTCATCCCAATTTTGTTTGGAGCATCCTTGGGCAAAAGGGACTCAATGTTGTATAAACAGTGAGTGTGGCCCCTCGTGAGGGGTGGTCCAAAAAGGGGTAATTTAGCAAATTCTTTAAAAATTATTCTTCTGTAGGAAAAACAGGATTTTGTCTAAAGCATCCTTGGATTAAGGGGACTCAATTTTGTATAAATGGTTGGTCTGGGGTCAGACGGGCGGGGCCAAATAGAGGAAATATAGCAAATTCTCCAAAATCTTTCTTCTTCTGTAAAAATGACAGGATATTTTGTCCAAATTTGGTATGAAGCACCCTTTAGTTATGAGGAACCAATTTTGTATAATTGGTGGGTCTGACTCCCCTTTTGGGCAGAGAAGCAGGGCCCAATAAGAAATATCTTAAGGAGGCAAGGTAGTCTAGTGGTAGGACACCGGGCTCGTGACCGAAGGGTTGCGGGTTCGATGCACGGCATGGCACAGTGTTATATCCACTTAGCTAAATTTGCTTTAAAACGCATCTCCTGCTAAACGCCAGAGAGGATTTCAACCAAATTTAGTCTGAAGCATCACTAGGGGAGAGAAATCATTTCTTAAATAAATCAGGTTATTTCGACCCCTGAGGCCAGGAGGGCGGGGCCCTGAAGAGGAACTTAGCTAATTTTGCTTTAAAACGCGTTTCCTCCTAAACGCCAGAGAAGATTTCAACAAAATTTGCTCTGAAACTTCATTGGGGGAGCCTAGGGCAATCATTTCCTTAATAAATGAGACTGGTTGGAACCCTGGGGCTAGGAAGACCAGGCCCCAAAGAGGAAAATTATCTAATATTTTGCTTTAAGATGCTAATATCCCCAAATTGCCTGACTAGATTGTACAAAATTTGGTCAAAAAGATCTTATTTCAATGTAAGAAAGTATGTAACACTATATGGCATTCGACGGGCGTATATTGTTCCGCCCCGCGGTACTCTTGTTAGCAAGAAAAAAAAGTGTATTAAGTGCAAAACTTAATAAATGCATGTTTCTTAATAAATAAACAAGGAACTTTTGGTAATTTTTTGTCAGTTATAGACGATGGCCAAACGTCTCAAATATGAAAAAAAAAAATGCTGACAGAAAGCAGAGAATTAAGCGTAAATGTATGAGGATTAAAAAACACCCAAAAAGATCCTGCACTGTTTATATCCAGTATTTGAACCTAGGAGGAGATTTAATATTATGATTACTACCACCTTGTCCAAGCCTGAAGCTACTGTAAACTGACATGGATGTTCTGGTCAATTGTTCATACAGGATATTGCTCTCTTGAATATTGTTATGATATGATGTTGGCAGCTTATTATTTGTGCTTATTTTTAGGTCACCTGAGCTTTAGCTCAAGTGACCTATTGCTATCCGTTTTCGTCCGTCGTCCGTTAACATTTTACATTTCAAACTTAAAGTCAAGTTCTGCCGGGCCGATTGAACTGAAAGTTGGTAGGAATGATCGCCTCATGGTCCTGACTAAGTGTTGTTATTTTTCGAGTCGATCAGAAATCCAATATGGCCGCCACGGCCGCCATTTTGAAAACCTATTTCAAACTTAAAGTCAAGTTCTGCTGGGCCGATTGAACTGAAAGTTTGTAGGAATGATCGACTCATGGTCCTGACAAAGTGTTGTTATTTTTCGGGTCGATCAGAAATCCAATATGGCCGCCACGGCCGCCATTTTGAAAAACTATTTCAAACTTAAAGTCAAGTTCTGCTAGGCCGATTGAACTGAAACTTTGTAGGAATGATTGACTCATGGTCCTGACAAAGTGTTGTTATTTTTCGGGTCGATCAGAAATCCAATATGGCCACCACGGCTGCCATTTTGAAAAACTATTTCAAACTTAAAGTAAAGATCTACTTGGCCGATTGAACTGAAACTTTGTAGGAATGATCGAATCATGGTCCTGACAAAGTGTTGTTATTTTTCGGGTCAATCAGAAATACAATTTGGCTGCCATGGCCGCTATTTTGCTACTAAGTTCTAATAGGCCGATCTCACTTAAAATTGGTCTAGGAATGATCAGCTCAGGGTCCTGACAAAGTTAAGTTAACATTATACTATTTTTTACTCAAATTGGTACATATTTCAACAACAAAAATAAATACTGTAGACTCGGGTGACCGTTTAGGCCCATGGGCCTCTTGTTAATGTTTTGTTAACAATGTTGGTTAGTAATTCATTTTCATGTATTTTCCACTTAATTACCTGGTACATGTAGTTGCTGATTTCCCTGATACTCAATCTGGTTAAAACCAGTCCTTTGATTCCACTCCGACACTCCTCATTCCAGAAGCTTAAAGATCTGGTTTTAATCAGATTGCCGGATACTTAATGAAAATGAAACAAATTTAATTAGACCCGAATTTGAAAAAAAAATCTCTTTGGGTTCATCTTTTCAAACAAACTCAACTGACTTGACTGCTTCTAGAATTTGAATTTGAAAATTGACCAATCATAGACTAATATTCTAAATTGACTGGAGTGAGTTATTTATCAGTAATTTTCCGTAATTTCTATGTATTATTCTGCATCCAAAAAATCCCAAGACAATACTCCATATTCTGATTTTGTATTTGGCTTTAGTCCAATTTCTCTACATACAAAAAAGTTGAAATGCATAACAATGATTTCTAGAGCCATGCTACATATACTGTGGTAGGTTGTGCAGCAACAGCATGCATCCTTTTTTTCTTTTTTTTTCTTGTGTTCAATAATTATATAAGGTAAAACTTCCACTTTGAAAGCTGGCTATATGGTAAGTCAAAGGTCAACATATATAGGCTATATTAAATGGACTGGCAGGCTAGTGCTACAGTTGAAACCTGCATTCTTTTACACTACCATTACTAGTACTAGCTATAGTGTTGTTTTTATCATGAGGTGTTTTTTAATTAAATGTTTTGTCATTATCCAGTCATACTTTGCTAGAGTTGCTTTTAAGATTTAATTGATTACACTTACAAATATTTAAATCATCTCACTAGCATTGCTTTTATTTTACAGTGTGATTATAGGAAAGGATGGACACACCTACCAGCCATGGGGTTGAGACCCCTGGGGTGGGGCTAGCTAACTCTAGTCAAGGTTACGGCACTGCAATTCACCTCCAGGATAATTACTTGCTTCATGGGGTGATGGATCAGTCCTACCCCCAGGGTATTCCCAGTCGGATGTCGGAGGAGACCAGAGTAGGACAATTGGGACCGCACACTGAGGAGGAGTCCCTATGGTCTGGCAGTGTTGGTCAACATCCCAGTGATGAGGTTATCAGGAATGGCAACACTGGGCCTCGCCCTGGTGAGGAAAGTCTGATGGTCGGAAATATCATGAATATGGCTCAGCGCACAAGTGATGAAGGCATGAGGACAAGTACTTTGGGAGCTAGACCTGGTGAGGAGAACATTAGAGTTGGCAATATGGGACTTCACTCAACATGTGAAGATAGTATAAGGGTGGAGGGACATGGAGGACAGCGACCTACAATTCACTCCCCAAGACATGGAAATATGTTATTGTCAGGCCACCCAGTAACACAGCGTAATGCCCCCATGCATTTCTACATGGAAGATGGAAATGGATCCATGAGCAGTTCAATCTCACAGCAGAACCCAACAGGTCTTACTTCTCATAATGATATGAGCAGTATTCCTACTGGTCCTAAGGGGGCCACTCTGTTGTCAGGTCCCCATGACAACATGGTGGGTGGCAGTGTAGCCAGAGGGGGTCCTTTACCCCAACAGGCCCCAGATCTGACACACCGCCATCCTCAGCACACAGCAGCAGGAAGTAAGTCGGAGGGTGTTGAGGTTGAGCGTGGGGATGACGGCAGTCTAAAATCAGCAACCAAGGACTACACAGAAAGAAACCTGCCACGTGAACTCATGGGAAAGATGTTTGGTCTCCTAAAGGAAGGAATGTTCTGTGATGCAGTTATCCTGGCTGGCAATAAGGAAATAAGGGTAGGTGTATATATATAGATTAGATTTTCAAACATCAGTTTGCCACCCATATGCTAACGATCCACATTTTTAGCTCTCCTAGTCTGCAGCTAAAGCACCAAAAATTACTATTCAGTTTTATTTTTACTTTCAAAGACTGAAAATACTAGTATATTAAGATACTGAATTAAATATGTTTTTATAGAATTTATGTTAATTTTAAGCATTTCTGTTTTTCAGGTACACAAGATGGTGCTTATAGCAGCAAGTCCATTCCTACTGTCCAAGTTGTCTAAAACAACACCCAGTACATCTCTACGTGTGGAGCTTCCAATGGGTATTCCCCTACAGGTGGCATCACAGCTCGTCCACTACCTGTATGATGGTAAGATCACCTTGACAACTGACAATGTGTCCCAATTTGCACGTGTAGCCAATCTGTTCAAGCTGGAGCACCTGTACAACATTTGCGAGGATTTCATTGACTGTTTTAACCTGGACGAATCTTTGCTTAATGTCATGGAGGAAGACATTAGTGTGTCTGCAACAGAGCCAAGGACCTCGCCCATTGCTCTGAAAAAGCGCCATCTCAAGCTCAATGCAGAGGAAAATATGGCAGAAGCAGAGGTCACAGAAAACACCGAAAACACAGAAACTAATATGGTTTGTCATGAAAAGTCTGCACCATTACCCATTCAACCTAAACCTGTGTGTACTACTAAGGGGAAAACCGCTAATAAGAAAGCACCAAAAAAGTCTACCAAACTGAAACAAGAAGAGGTTTCCCCTCAGATGGAGACACCTGTTCACAAAGTGTCACATCTGTACGGCACCCGAGCAGCTTCTGCTGCCAAGGTAACTAAACAGGTAACAGAGGTGGTGGACGAGACCGGAGCAGCCACATCATATGGGAAACATGGGTTTTATCAGACAGAGGTGGCAGAGGTAGCCCACAGGGAGATAGGGGACAGCTCACCTACCAAACATCCCAGCCCTGTTAAACATGCCGACCTGATCAACAAAACACCAGAGTTGGACAATGATATTGAGAACAATGAGAATGGCGAGGAAGAAGATGATGAAACATCAGATGACAGTGACGAGGATTACCTGGAGAATAGCGCTACTGGGAAGTTTAAACAACTAAAACAGGCAAATAATAGCCTGAAGAAATTACAGTCAAAGAAAAGACAGAAGTAAGTCTGCATATGTATTTACTCTGTATAACAACATACTTGCCTTTTTGTGCAGAGTCCCGTGTTCAAGTTTGATGCTTTGCCAAATTCAGTCCCAAAATAATTAATGAGACTTCTCGGTCACAATAAGCCATTGTGCATATCATTGTACATAATAGGTCCAATTTGTCTTAATGTCTGTTCAAAATGGATATATAAGCATACAATAATATATATATAACAGTGAGTTGCATTTAGTCTTATTCTATCTGTGCTGGCATAGGTGACACATTTAATTTAGTGGAGTCTTTGTTTAAAATACATACCGGGTAATGTTATTTTTTTATTTTTTTTTGAAAACTGTTCTGTTTTTTGTTAAAACTGAAAGCACAACTGCTATATATCAGTGCCTTTATTTTTTAATCATACCAGGTACTAAGACATTTTCGAAATCCAAGGATTCAGCACCCGTTTTATATATATATATATATAACTTCTCTAGACCCTTGGAATAGTATGTCATGACGAAATGATGCACAACTTTAAAGCCAGTCAGTTTTACCATTATGCTGCCTCTCATTTAAGTTAATGTACATTATTTGATCAAGCTAATTTACTTGCATTATCTGCAAAGTGGTGCATACAATACAGAGATTTTAATTTTTACATGACATATTCCAAGGGGGTGTTGAGAAGACCTGTATCAAGGGTAGAACATTTGGATTTCAATAAGATAGCCTTTATGTTGATCCAGTGTTTATTTGACTGAAGTTAACACAGAATGTATACTCTGTGAGGGAGTAAGAAAACACAATTGAAAGTGTGTTGCAGCAGATTTTCATAAAGACAAAACTAATATTTGAAGTCCCTTCATTACAAGGGAATTTAGTCACTTTTCAAATCTAGCAAAAGAACAAAATTCGCAGTAGAATTAATTACAAATAAATTGATATTTTCTAGGAAAATGCCTGTCCCTCCAGCACCCAAGCAAGATATGCCTCTGAGACCACCTCCAAAGAAACGAGCAAGAGAGTTTGCAAAATCTGAGGAAGATAAAATACTTCAGGACATTGAAAGTAAACTGGATTTATCAGTTTTAGATGTCTCGGTGTCACTGGCAACAGAATTAACAACAAAAAAGAAAGCAGTGACCAAGAAAATAAAGAAGAAGAGAAAGAAACATTCATTTGGAACCATGCTCAAGAGTGTGGTTACAAGCGCGATAGCTGAGCTGGATAAAAATGCAGAGCTTATACCAGAGAGTGAGCGACAGTTTAAATGTAAACTTTGTGGCAATGAATTTGTATTTCCGAAACGAAGTATCACTCATTTGATAAACACACATGAAATCTCTCCAGATGACGTTTTGAGCTACATTACAATACGCAAGTTTGAAAAGTCTCCAAGAGTTTGTGACATTTGTGGGTATGAAACCAAAGAACCAAACTTTTATTACATTCATTACCATAAGTACTTCCGGCACGGCATTCCGCTACCCAAAGGTTGGAAACCATTCACATGTGACATTTGTGGAAAGGAGTGTTTTACAAAGTTCCAGCTGAAAGACCATAAGCTTATACACCGTGAACAAACACCATTTATTTGTGAAAAGTGTGGGCAAGGTTTTAAAAGCAGGACATGTCTCAATAGTCATGTGTTTCATCGACACAATTCCATACGAAAACATGACTGTACCGAATGTGAAAAGTCTTTCAAGACAAAAACGCAGCTGATGGTACATCATCGCATACACACTGGAGAAAAACCGTTTCACTGTCCAGACTGTGATTATAAGAGTACCACCCGAGGTAACATGCGACTCCATCTGACCAACAAACACAAATATGATTCTCAGGTTATTACGTGCATGATGTACCAGATCAAGACACTTAGCAAGGCATATGAAATGCAGAGTTTGCCACAGGATCTCATTAATAACGCTAATCTTCAGACTGAAGAGTCTGACCTGCTGAACACCGCTGACAAGAACCAGATGAGGCCAATGGAGGACCATGTGGGTATGCACCTTCCTACAAATGTAATGGACAATGACAAGTCACCTCAGCCTTCACAACGTGATAATGACACATTCTCAAACCTGGGCAACATCCTTGTAGCCAATCCCCAGGGCCAGCCCAGTCAGCTGATCTACACAGACGAAAATATAACTAACCGACACATCATACTTCAGTCGTACAATGGCCAGCAAATAGTGACAGGAGAGCTACAGAGAGGTCAGACCTCGGGTGGAGTTGAATGCCAAGACACCCAGGCCACACAGATCCCAGTGTTACTACAGCCAGTACAAGGCACTGACCACCTGGCCGGTCACTTCCTAGTACAAACACACCATGGAGGACAAAGCACTGTCCAGCTTCTCAGTACAACAGATGGTCAACTCACACAAGACCCACGGGGTCAGGAGGCCCACATACTGGTACAGGATTCCCAAGGCATGCTACAGGAAGCAGGTATCACCAGTGAACAGGTTCTGATTACAGATCAGGAACAGCTGAACCTTTCCTCATCTCGACGTCAAAGTCATGAACAGCAAATCATGTATGTGGAGCGACCAGCCAATGAGATGGTACAGCAAGATCAGCTAATCTTAGCCACAGATAAGAATGTTACGGTGCACGAATCCACAGGACACTCTACCACAGAGCTCCAAAACGTGTCTCCACGACTCATGATTGATGGAAATCAACAAGTTCACATTCAGATTCACACCGGGACAGCAGTCACCTTAGAAACGGATTCCCATGGACAAGTGCAGGAGCGACAGGTGCGCATCCAGGATCCCCAGGGCCTACTGGTGGGAGAGCGGCCACAAGTCACACTTGTCCACCGAGGTCTCAACATTCAGGACAGGGCCAAAGACACAGTACAGCCAAAACAGGAAGTTCAGATCTCCGTGTCAACATCACTTGAATCATACCAACAAGTTTCGCTACCAGTCACGTCAGAAAATCCATTGACAACATATGTGGTGAACTCTCAGAATACAGGTACCAGTATTGAGTCTCAGGGACAGTTAGTTCAGAGTCCTCCCAACACCCACGGCTTACCCACAACTCAGGCTCATGGGCTGCCCGACTCCCCCACCACCCAGTCCTCACAGAGCTACAGTGACAACACCCTGTACCAGTATTATCATCAGCAGTTCAACAACTTCTGATCTCCAGGAATATGGTGTAGAACCCACTGTCAGTCTCTGGTACAAGACTGGTGGCACTGGAATCTGATATTTGACAATGTCTGATATGTATAAGATGAATATGTAACTCAGAGAGATACAGAAGTATGTTTCCTTTCTGACTTTGGAAAGTTGTCCCACTGTCAGGGATTATCTATCTGACAGAGTCACTTGTCTAAGGTTGTGTAGCTGGGTGTGTATTTGTGTACATCAGGGCTTTTTGCCAGCTGTTTTGCTAAAAGGACACTCACCATACTTGAGAACATTTTGTGGTATTATTACATATAATTGGGATAATGAGGGGTCGAAAATAATTGAGCAAATATTCAGCAAAATTGTTCAAAATACTCAGTTTTGAGGGGGAAGGCCTTTTTTTTAATTTCCGAAATTTCATTTTTTTCTGGAGGGTATTCCCATCCAGACCTATGAAATGCTGGCAAAATCCCTATGCATATGTTAGCTTTTGATAATAAGAAGTATTTTGGTATACATACTGTGTACTAGGATACCTTTACCCACTCAAACTTTCATTCTACATCGGTAAATCCATCTTCACATCCTGTTACCCGGTAATATCACCATTCATATTTGATTACTATGTTTATTACTAAGATTCTGTTTAATAATAATCATTACGAAAGACGAAAAAAGGCGAAAGTTAAACAACAGCCAAGATTTTCTGCTATACAGTAGAGCAATACCTGCAAAAAATGTCCACAGTTTAACTTGTGCCTTTTTAACCCCATGTACAAAATGTAGTGAGGACCAATTCATCATTACAGCAACTATTAGTAAACAACACAATATATATAGTAATTAAATGCAATGGGTGAAATTAACATAGGGCAAATACGGATTTTAATGGTGAAGGGCGAAAGGTTCTAGATACACGTATACAGTAACCTGGCAATTGCCTTGTTATAAATGTAGTAAGGTTAACACTGACAGTCCTGTCCATGTTGTACAAACATCTAGATTGAACATAAATATTCTATGTTATTATTGTAAACAATATAACACAGGAATTCTATGAGTGCCAATAGTGTTTGCTTAATTGAATGACTTGCATGCAAAAAAAACCCCACTGATATTGTGCCATTTAAGTGGTTTCATACACGTCAGACCAGAGTTGAAATTAAGAAGAACGAAAAACTTGATGGCAAAGTCCTAATTAACTTTTACAAAACTTACACCAGCAGTTATTTTATTTTCTCAAAAAAGTCTGGTGTAGTTGCTGAATTCAAGATAAAATGGAGTTCATATACAGTGTATCAATATAAGATTGCTAGGTACTCCCATAACATTTCATACCAAAACACTTCTTTGTTAGCAATGTAAATTACCTGTATTCTCGAAGAATTGATGATTCAATCACAACTGTTTTTCCAAATATTTGTTATGCTACAAGATGTACTATGCATTGCTGCTAATAAACTGTATAGATGTGAAAATCAATATACATGTACATTGAGATTTACAATTTCTTTTAAGTTCTAAAATTTCAAACTTTAGGACTGAAGTCTCAACAGAATGGAGTTTAAAGCCTAATTTAATTAAACAGGGATTTGTTCATTTGACAAATTCAAATTTATAATTTGTTTGAAGGTGAAGTACTTCACAACAGTTACACAAATGTTTACTTTGTAAGAAATATGGTTTGGTGTTCTATAGATGCAAACATGAAAAAATTATCTGCTTTCATCTGAATCTTTTTAATGCATAAGTTGCATCTCAAGAGCAAAATATGTTATTAATTTTACCATATATTTATTTTGACTTCTGATGGAGTACTCTGTTTATAAATTAATTAAATGATGTATTACGCTATTACATTGTACCTAGGCACATATAAATTTAAGAACGAATAATATCAAAGTTATGTTTAGTGATTTATGATAGAATGATATAACTTATACATGTTTGTGTCCTATTTGTTATATCCTGTCTGTTCTGCAACATCGAATTTAATTTATTTTTAGCTCACCTGTCCGAAGGGCAATTGAGCTTTTTCTGTGGTCAGTCTACCCATCCATCCTTCTGAATAACCAAGATAGTGGTGGGCAGTAGTATACAGTAATGAAGGACTGTCAAGTTGCTTAAATTACCTTCACTAACTTTTATTTAAGGTCACAGAGGTCAAATGTGTTCAAAACTTTTACAACTTCTTCTGAATAACCAAGAGGCCTAGGGTCATGATGTTTGGTCTATATAATGCTGGAATTGATCATCATAATGTTTGTTTGAATGACCTTGTCCTATTAACAAGGTCACAGTGGTCAAATATATGAAAAAGTTTAAGTGACTTTTTCTGATTAACTCAGATGATGATGATGGTTCCGTAATTTGGCTTGTGACATGCTATAAGATGGAGGGATATCAAGTGTGTTCAAATAGATAACCTTGACCCATTTTCAAGGTCACAGTGGTCAAATGTGTTTAAACCATTTACAACTTCTGAATAACCAAGAGGCTTAGAGCCATGATATTTGGCCTGTATCATGCAGTGGCAAAAGGCTTTAAGTTCTTTCGTATGAATAACCTTGACCCACTTTCAAGGTCATATGTAGTCCAATATGTTATTAATTTGAATATCTTTTCCTGAATAACAAAGAGGTCTAGGGTAATGATATTTGGCCTGTAGCATGCTTAGGGTTATCAATTTAGCTTAAAGAAATTTGATTTTGACATTCTTACAAAATTAATGTAGCTCTGAATATCAGATGAACAATACACGCCCAGTAGATCTCTTATTTATTTATTTATTTTTTATACAAATTATTGCAATTAGTGCTACCAGGTAATAAGTTTGTAGTATAATGTATTTAACTGTTTGACTAAAATGACTTATAAGTGGTTGGTAGATATTTTGGTAACACTGACTGATCAGGACTGATCCTAGTGTTGAACATTGATGACAATATTTGGCATGCATTTCTGATCTAATTAACTTCAGAATGCTTTAAAATTGCTCAAGTATTAGGGGCACTTTATAGAAAATGATTTTAAGTAGAGCTCATTTGTCATTTACTAAAAGACTGAATAACAACTATTTTGTTTAAAGAAATATTTGTATATTGTTTATTTGTTGCAATTCAAAGTTGAGTGCCAAATGTCTGCTTGTTTTGTTGTGCTGTTTCCCTGCCACCTATATTTCATGACTTTGCTGATATTTGAATGTTAAAACAATGGTTGTTGATGTTTTCATTACGAAACAATGGGAAAGAAGCACCGACAGGAATTCCAATGCTATATTGCCAGTGGTTGTCATTAGAATGGACAGTAAAAACATATTACAAATCTGAACTGAGGGATTTGTTTGTAAGTGAAAGAATTTGAGGGACCTCTGTTTAACTGTTTGTTTATGCCTGGTATTTGTCCACATTGTGTTCAGCAGTAATTCATTTAATATATTAAGTTGGTTGATGCACAAACAGATTATTAACTACCACATGTGTTATGCAGGCAATGAAAACTTAACAAAGGGTTGAAAGAATATTTTTCCAAATCTCATCCATAAAAGTCTCATTCTAAACTACAAAAGTCTTTCCCTAAGGTCGAGATTCTCTGTCCACATCACACAAGGATAATTTTATGAATTGACATGAACTGAACAAAGTCATTATCTCTAGGAAGTCCCAGCAGGTGATGAGTGTCGTTTGTGTGATCGAGACACTAATTCTTCTGTTTGTGTCGCCAATCTTGAAATTTCTGCAATAATGTATGAATATGAATCCATTTACAAACAAAAATGAATTAAAATGGCCCAAAACAGTATCTGTTCTGTTCTTTGTTTATTTTGATTTGTTTTGTCCAGCTGAACAAAATAGTCTTGCTAGTGCCAATCTATCAATAACAAGCTAACTTTGAGAAAAGCTCTTACATAATTTGTAGATTAAAGTATGTTGTATTCAGACAAATGCGATTCCTCTGTGAACAGAAACCAAATATCCAGGCAAACGATATGTTAATTGCCATGTACAAGAGATTAAAAATGGTGCACTTCATATTTTTTTAAATCAAGAAAAACTATTTGTTCATTCAAGTACAGCACTAAGCTATGATCAATATTGAGGTAATTGCAGGATGAACTGGGACGGTTTAGGTGCTATTGTATTTTGATTAACATCATTAGTAGAAATTTTAACATTAACCAGCTTCTTCTTACCTTGTGAAATAAATTAACATTGTGAAAATTTACAACTGAGTGGGCACATTGCTACCAATTGCCATCCAGTTTCCAGTGTACACCAAACTTAAGCCCAGTACAAGAAGAACAGAGTGACATTGCTTTCCTCCTGCTTTTGTTATTAGGTCTCCCCTTCAAATTAAAGAGACATACTGTATTAATACACATGTTTCTCACAATGTCTTGTCTGGGCAGAACTTTTATACTGTTAAAGCTATCTTGATTAAACTTGAAGTATTCATGCATCATCCACAGGATGTGAGCAGTGAACTTAGTCACCTCTTGCCAAGAGGTCAAATAAGTGATAAGTTTTTGGTGAAATCGTTAGAGTTTTAAACCGTTAACAATAGCCTGATAAAACCTAATGTATATATTTTATCTGCATTGCCCCACAGATGTACAATGCTCTGCAATTAGGTCACTGTGACCTTCATCTCTAGGTTAAAGTCTAATATGTGTAAAACTTTCAGTGTTGGCTTGTTCTATCAGGGCACATTAACAAAGGTGTCAACCTCTGAAACCTCTAATGAGGCAGATCTTCCTCCTTATGAGGGAGGGTGGACAGCTATGCGTCATTTTGTCAAATCTTGCCATGCATTCATAAACTATTTTCGTGATAAAAATAGGTCTGTTTTCAAGGTTTACATGTCGGTTTATCGACTCCTTTACTATAAATAACAGATCCAGACAATAGTGTGGCATACAACACACCGAGCCTTTCTGAAGTTATAGCCCAGCAATTTGGCCTGACCCCTTGACCTTGGTGTACAGGCCCCAGTGGCTTAAAATGTTGGTTAATGTTAACTGGTGGTTAGTGAAAAATTAAAATTGTTCCCACTTAAAAAACTTAATAAAACCCTCAAAACACATTAATCTGTTCTGTCTCAAGAAATCCACAGCATTGAAATATCAGAGGCTCTGAATTTCTTTTATTCATATTTCAAACCACTGGATAACTAACCAACCTTTTAGAAACTTGGGCAAGATCAAAAGTTGTATGTGAAATATTGTCTTGTCATGATACAACTATCAATGAAGCTTCACTAACATCATCGAGTCATTCAGATGTTACAGCCCGGACAGTCATTAGGATTTGACCTTTGATTCTTTTTTGTGACCTGAAACCTAGGACAGACCCAGGAGTTAAAAATATTTTAGGTCATGCAGTTTGATGCATCATGTCTCATGGTATAGAAGCCAGTGCTATTTTTCGACAGATAGACATTGCATTGAGACTACGTACACTAAACATACAGATTTTAGCAGCAATCTTTTTTAGCACTTTTCATACTTACGATATTGTACTTGATGATTATTGCACTAATTTAATATTCTGTGTCTAGTTTTCTGTTGCTTATGTTGAGAATGAGCCAATTCATCCATGCACTAATCTATTAGAAAGTGCCAAAACTGGAGTGAGCTAAAAACAAGTATGTTTAAGTATTGTCAAGAAATAACACCACCACAGAAAGTTCTATAAACGTCATGTTTTAATACATTTTATATTAGCAATAACAATGTTACATCAATAAATCCAGCCCTCTTTAGTATTATTATCATTCATTAAGCCAAGCTTTGGCTTATACTTGGCACATCATTGTACAACCAATGCCATTTCTCATTAACCATTTGAAGCAGCATCTTCAAAAACCTCCATTACCAACATACAAATGCTAAGTGTGTTTAGCAACATCTGAAATGACCTCCATATCTTCTACGGAAATGCTCAAGTTTTTGAAGCTAAATACCTTCAATGCAATCCATATATATCTGGAGCACATTTTGACCAACACCTTTAGTAAGCTAACTATTGACACATACATGAATACCTCTATGGTTTATGTATTGTTCTCCTACCTTATGAGGCAACACCTTTAATGACTTTGTTATCTTTGTAAGCATGTTATTCCTCAAACTTATGAAGCAGTTATTAATTTCTCCATCTCTTATGTAAATATTCAACTTTTAGAACCATGATAATGTATTGACAAACCTCCATATTCAATGTAAATACTCAAATGTCTGAAGCAAAACCTCATTTACCTCAATATCCAGCAAGTTGCTGCATTCAACATTTCGAAGCAATTTCCCCAACATCATACAGCTAATTCCTCAACTTATGAAGCAGCATCTACAGATACCTCCATATCTCATGTATTTCTCTCCTACCTTTGGAGGTTACACCTTCAATGACTTCTTTGTAAGCATGGTATGCCTTAAACTATTGAAGCAACTTTTACAATAAACTGCATCATGTATGTAAATATTCCACCCTTAAAAGCACATTGTAAATACTCAAACATCTTTAGCAAGCGCCTGCAATTACCTCAATATTCAGCACAAACCTTCATAGTTTACCCGTAAATGCTCGTTCTTTAGAGGCAATTTTTTCTTTATAACCTCCATATGTTATGTCAATGCTCAGTCTATTGAATATGTACCTTAAATATCTTCCATATCGAGCACATCATACCATAAACCTTTGAAGCACCATCAAAAAGTTACTCATCACATTGTAACCTCCTCTTCTATGTCAATGCTCAAATTTGTTAATGAATATCTTTTATAATTACCTCCACCTTCTATGCACATATTCCATATCCCTTCTGAGAAAATCCCCTCCATATCTTACATGTAAATGCTCCAGTTTTTGAAGCAACATCTACCATAGCTTTCACCTTTTGTGTAAACTCACAAATGTTAAAGCAATGCCTTGATTTCATCGCGTATTCATGTACTCAACATTTGGAGCAGCATCTTCCATACCTTCTATGTAATTATTCAAACATAGGAAGGAGCATCTACAAAAAATATGTTCATCCTTTTAAAACTGAGTATCTTCACCACCCCACATATCTTGTATATAATTGCTCATAATTTTGAAGCAATATCTACAGAACTTCCATATTGGTATTTGCTATTTTATGTAAAAACTCAAACATCTGAACTATTCCACAATATCTATCAAATGTTTAGATATATTTCTTTGAAGCAAAACCTTCTGTTGCCTTCATTCTTACTTATACATTCTAAGCCCTTTAGATCCAACATTTTCAATAACCTTCATATCTTTTATGTTAATGCTTGATCTTTTGAAGTCATACCTTCAATAACCTCCATATCTAGCACATCATTTCATACACTTTTGAAACACCATCAACAATACCTGAAGAAACAGTTTCAATAACCACAATATCTTACTTGTAAATCCACCAACATCTACAAGTCCAATTACCTCCACCTTTTATGTAAAATGCTCAACGTTTTTTTAAAATACCTTTAACAACCTTCATTTCAATATAACCTTCATATCAACCATGTTATTACAACCTCTTTAGAGCAATCCCTTCAAGGACCTGCCTGCCTTAAATGGGGCTGAAGAATGGATGGTGTACATGACTCCTGTATGTATGATCACAACCTACTCTTACTTTTATATCTTCTTTTTCACATTTCATCACATATTCATCAATGCATTCTGGTCCTATTTTTTTTTATTTTTTTTTTCAAAATCTTTTTTTCTGAATGCAGTATTAGAATTTCCATAGTTCCTTTTCATTTTCTGATGCAGAATCTTTAAAAGCCAAGCAATGTTTTGCTTTTACCTTATCAGAGATATCATAAAAACATATATATTGATCTTTTTTCCAGAGCTTCCTATTAAAAAGTACTTTTCTTCTAATCTGATTTCTGTATATCAATAAGCCGGTGTCCCTACACCTCCTGCTCTACAAGACTGCTCTCTGAGCAGATGTTCCTGATGTCATACAAAGCCAACAGCTCATCTGCCCTTTTACAGACATCTTCTTTCTCCTCTTCCTCATTGTCCCCAAGCCCAAGGTTCCTTATATCATATTTGCTAAGGAGGCGGTCAGCATTACTGATTTGGACCTGTTCTGGACACTTTTCCTTCTTGTTACCCTCTACACATGACAGACTGCCCTGGTTTAAAAGGTTTTCCTTTCTTGTCCAACTGCTTGTAGTGGTACCAGTCTGAGCTAACGGGGGCTGTTTAGGAGGGTTGCTACATAATGTATCCGAGACTTTCCTTACATATGGGGCCCCATCAGCTTTTCCCCGTGGTCCATGAGGAGCCCTAGCCATTCGTTGTTGTTTGTTGGAAGTATTTACTACTCTGTGTGTTCCCTGAGGTATACTTATCTTTCCATGTGGTCCCTGACAAGCACTAGACGACCCTTGCTGGGATTTGAAATCACTATTGCTGGAGCTCCCGCGAAATCCAGCTGCAATACCACTGTCCACTTGACCACTCTGCCTGACCACTCCTACCCTGTGGCGAGATCTTAGAGTGTCTGAAGCCACATTCTCTGTTGTAGATCTAACCATGGCAGTTTGGGGATTTCCAATGTCCATCAACACTTTGGGCTTTGATGGCAAGATAGAAAAGCCCCCTTTCCTGTTTGGCACAGCAGGCACGGTACTTTGACTTTCTGGCCTTGAATATGATCTAAGGGCATTGGCTGTATTAGTACCAGGCATGAACATCACAGGTAATTTAGTAGGGACAGTGTCAACCATGATATTTGGCTGAAGATTGGAGCTCTTCATGCTGCATTCATTGGTCCTTGATAGCCGGGGTAGGAAAGTTGTCTGGGATTTGACCCATGGTGGCAGTTCCCCTGGTTTGACATTGTCCTGGTTGCTCTCAGCATTGAAAGGAGATGACAACATGTTTTTTCCTGAACTGGGCATCTTAGGCAGCACATTGGCTTCCCTTCTGGAGTTTGCTCTAAAAGCAGGATGAGATGAAGAGGAACCATTTCGAGACTCTGACCTCAGTGTTGGTACATTGTTTTTGTTCACCATTGGCTTGGGCATTAATGGCAGATTATTATCCACATGATGTCTTGGTTTGCTTGGAGACTGGTTCATGGCCTCCCTGATATGTTGTGAACTTGTCATCTCAGGAGTTCCGATTATGGATCTGGGCAGCTTAGGTAGCAGATTTCTATCTAGACTTGAGTCACTTCTCAAAAGCTGGACGGGTGTCTTTACATCTCTGGACATAATCCTATGAACTGCGGTCTCTGGACTTGCAATTTGTGGAAGTCCCTCCATTTTCGGTTGTCTCGGGGATGTTTTAACAGGAATGTCCTCATACAGGTATGGTTTAGGTACCAAAGGTAAACCTTGAGGACTGTCAGATTGGCTACAATCATCTTGTGGCATGTCTTTTGGCGTATTTAAGTGAATTTCTGATCCACTGTTTTTGCTATTGCCATGGTTGAATGGAAGACAGGAAGCTTTGCTGTCCAAGCAGTGGGTGTATATATCTCTTGATCTGTCATCAATCTTCTCATCGAACCGCCTGTTGGCATTGCCTGAAAAAAAAAAGTTTTTAAATCCGAACTGATGAATGAGAATAATGATGTCTGCTCTAATGAGGGCACTGCCAAGAAATTGAAAAACATAAGTTGAATGCTATCTTAAAATTCCAGACTATTCCAGATCTAGGTTTATAATTTCAGGAAATGTGTATTAGTCTGGTTGGTTAAGTTGGTTAAAAAAACTTCCTCCACCAAATGTTGCTCCATCAGTTCATACAATAAGTAACTAAATGAACCCAAAGCTACCATCAGATATTATCTGCTGATACAGTGACCAGTGGTCAAAGACATACCATTTTATTCATGGGAATTTGAAGTAGAATAAAGAGACATTCATGTCTCTGCTGCAGTGGGAAACGAATTCATAAATAAGGAGAAAACCCCAGTCTTCATTAACCTTCATAGAGAGCCCAAAACAAGTATAATAAATACAGTTTTAGGTGGTGAAATTATTACACACCTGAAGTATCCGAAGTCCTTGTCAGCTGTCCTTTGGAAGTAACACTAGATACCATTGATTCCAAGTCCAGTTTTTGGTCATCTTGTCCAGCGTGATGGCTGGTGCTCTTGGATACAAAGTCCTCCTTTAAGACCTATGTAAAGGATTGGTGTTAGTACTGGTGCATGTATGTTCACCATCAAGTAAACATAGAAAAGTCATTTCTTAAGAGAGTATATTTTCCCAGTGAAAATAAGCTTCAGGGCTTTCTGGGTAATCCTGGTTTTTAAGGGAATAACCGTTACCTACCTTGTAATTTATAAAATTGTGATAACTTTTATTTTTTAGAGACTGATACAATTTTACATTTACATGTTTTATAATGGAATCACCTATATAAATTACTAGTGCCAAAACATTTATTGAGTACTATATGAAATTGTTATGTTGTTGTACCTTTTTACTAAATAAACTTGAATTGAATTGAACTGAGTAAAATTAATTTTGATATATGAATAAAGAGGCATCACAAAAGACATGGATATGAGTTAGCTAACAAAATCATAAAGACGATTTTTTTTTTAAAATATAGAAGCCTGTGTGAGAATTAAATGTGTTGGGCACCTGTGGAAAAGGGAAGGTGAGATCCCTACAACCACGGGCTAGACATTTCTTAATCTCGTCATCTGGACTGTAAATCATGGACAATTCAGTCAGGTCTGTGAGGATGGGCAGAGTCTTATCTCTGTAGACACAGTGATTGCACAGCAGAGGGAAGCAGTAGGAAAGCAAGGACACAGCGGAAGGAGGAGGTAGTCACAGTGATGGCACAGCAGAGGGAAGCAGTAGGAAGGCAAGGACACAGCGGAAGGAGGAGGTGGTCACAGTGATGGCACAGCAGAGGGAAGCAGTAGGAAGGCAAGGACACAGCAAAAGGAGGAGGTAGACACAGCGGAAACCGTGGAAGGAGAGAACAGACACAGCAAAGACAGGTACACAAAAGCAGAGGACAGAGGAGGGAGAGAAAGAGAGTGATGATATTAGAAATAGAAACTGAAAACGCAAAATTAACATTTGTCATAGTTCAAAGATTTTCATACAACATTATTTCAGAATAATTGCAAAACTGAAAGAAAAGAAAAGAAAAAAAATGAAAGAAATGTAACGGTATTTGTAAATCAAGTAAGAATAAATGAGTTCATCATCAGATGAGACACATCACATATTTCCATCAGTTTTCCAAACAGAGGAAATAACATAGGGATAACTAACTAACCTGAACATTCATAAAGACAGTGACATTAATGAAAGAAAATATATTTGAAAAAAAATCTTTCTTTTTTATTCAAAAATGAATTAATTCTTTTCATAGATATATATATATACATGCAGAAAGACTACAGAGGAATTAAGAGAAAAGGAAAAGCAGACCTTGAATAATATTTGCTGTTAGCCAAGTGGCAAATAAAATGATGGGCATTATATCGAGGTTTTAAGGGCAGGTTATTAAGTTACCAAACACAAGGCTTGCCGAGTGTTTGGCAACATAAAAATCTTTCCCGCAAGGGTTGTGATTCCCCTATCTCAACCTCAAGGGGGTGAATATATACATAATGTAACGTTAATGTTACAGGCTAATTTCAGGGTTGACATGACATTGATGGATTGTTGATGTGACGTCATTGTATTGTTGATGTGACGTCATACTATTTTAATGAATAGGGGAATCCCCCGTCTCAACCCTAGCGTGAGACAAGGATTTCTCTCACATCCAGTCACGTAAGATAACGCTGGCCATGTAAGATAACCATGCTTGCTGAGTCTATCTTACATGGGCTGATCACATCGCGTAGTAATACAAAAACTAAGGGGAGCAACTCCCAATATTCGCCAAGCTCTGTATTTATTAATTGTATCTATAATTTCATTTTTATTGATTAATTTCATGATCATGTCATGAATAAAAAATTTGACAACGAAAGGATAATTTGTTTTCTATTTTCAACTAGGAACTATGTTTCTCTGCGCACTAAATGAGAAGTACAGTAAGTAGCGATGAGGTTCAAAGATGCGGCTTAGAAAATGCCATTTAGAAAATAGAAAGTTGATTAACAACTAAAACATAGAATTTTCATGGAAATGTGTTGTTTTTAAGCGTGCAACAAAGTTGCAGTTTGAGGGTATGGAGAATTTATTTCTACTATTATTTTTGTATTTAAATTACGGAGAAAGTATTTAAATAAAACTGGAAGATGGCAACTGTCTGTGGGCATTGAGAGGTGAAGTATTTGTTTCTTAATGGTAGATATGAGAGAGAACATACTCATTCATTTGTAACAGTAGGTGGATAGAGAATTCCTCCCTCAGGGATCATAATTGGGGTAAAACCCAATTTATAATCCCATCGGGAGAAATTCTCTATCCACCTCCGGTACATTTGAAAGAGTCTTATAATCTCACACCGGTAAAAGTGTGGGTACACCTGTCCAGGGTAAGAGAAAAGGAAATCTCACACCGGTAAAAGTGTGGATACACCTGTCCAGGGTAAGAGAAAAGGAAATCTCACACCGGAACAAGGGTGAACACACCTGTCAAGGGTAACAGAAGAAAATGTCACATACCGAGTATACATGTATATATAAAATAAAGGTTACCGAGGGTTGTTGTATGTTGTCAGAATACTGGAATACTTTCCAATGCAATCCACTAAGGTCAAAAGGCGCTTTTCCTCATGTTTGACAAAGAGGAACTCCAGTTCTTCTGCATCCTGTCAAACAAATGAAATCTTTTTTAAAATGAGGTACTATTTGACTATGATAAAATAAAATGCCATAAATTTAGGTTGCCTGGTTTTTCTCAAAAGGTTGTAGAGAAGGTACCCTTTTATGGTATTTGTTCAAATTAAGACATATTTTTATCATAAATCTAAAATGAAAATCAAAGTTTACAAGGTCAAAACACCAGGAACAATCAACATTTTATACTAAACCTTACCTTGATGAACTCTAGCCTGTTTCTGAGTTCAGCGTCCAGAGCGTGGTGGTACCGTTGTCCAGCAGCCTGAGCCTCCACCCTGAAGTGCTCCATTTTTATCTTCAGTTCAGAAACACTTATATTGTCTAGACCACTGAATGGATAGCTGTCAATTTGTTGCTGGACTTTTTCCAGTATGTGTCTTTTCTTATTGTGTACCTTAAAAATAATTAAATGCAAACAAATTATATTGCTTAGAAGTACATTGTTCACCCAAGATCCTTCCAATTAAGTTATTCTTTTTTAAGAACAGAAACTTGTCAGTGAATGACAATATTGATTGGAAAAAGTGACTAAACTGAAGATCTGTTTTATCAATTATTGAAAAAAAATGGAATGAAGTTTTAATATGTAACGGTAAGATTGTTTTAATGAGATTGGCCCTGGTTAGGCTTCCATATTGAAGTCTTGAGTTTAAATATTTATTTATTAGTTGTATTGTATTTCATACCATGGTTATTTGCTGCTACTTAATTTGCAGAAAATACTAGGAAAGAGATCAATTTATATACCGATCATCAGTACCAATTATATATATAGCTCTTAATGTTAATTAAAATGCAAGGCAGAGGTTTATCAGCTGCCTTTTTAGGTCTGTTAGACAATCCTTTTTTTTCTCAGTTTGTTAAGAGAAGTTCATATATGAATTTTATCAAGGATAGTATCAGACATTTTGACAAAAGTAATAATGCATTCCATTTCAGGATTTTGACATATGAAAATTAACAGATTTGTGTGGAGATTTTCCCATGTGGACCCTGGATCTATTTCCCAAAACACCCTGATAACTCCCTAGTGCCTGATCACTAATGTAAGTACTTGGCTTTAGATCTATACATATCAATACAATGGGCAAATAGGGATTTTACTGATGAAGGGCAAATATGTTTCTAGGCAAAAAATGTCCAGTGTAGAAATATTTTACAATAAAATACTTTCAATTACATGCCAATATCAAATGTCAAATACAAAAATACTTTCAATTACATGTCAATATAAATGTCAAATACACAAATAATATATCTATTTCATAACCCTTTGTCTGTTTAGGAAAGTTTTGTCTGAAAACTGTTATTGAAAATTCTAGTCATACTGGGAATGTGACTCCAAGTCATCTGCCATTTTTTTTCTTCATCTTTCACGACAAGATAAAAGTTAATCAAGTTTAATTACAGAAGCTCAACTTTCTTGGTCATTTTATCATGGTCATAATTAGCTCATCTGATTAAGGTCATTGGAGTGTATTGATAATCGGAAACAGGAAGTACATCCCTAGTTGAAAATCCAATGTAGGGAGACAGTATCACAATTTCCGCAAAATTCTAATGTTTAATATTAAATTGATGAATATTGTATGTTTATTATTGACAGAACAGTGTGTTCTCTCAATATTAAAGTATTTCAAAGCAATCCAGGCATTGATTCAGGTTTTTTTTTATCAATGAGTCACATGTGTCCATTTTTTCTTTACTTCAGGAAACCGGCTACCTATTTCACTACTGTGAAGTTTTTCAAGAACGATAACTCTTACCTGCAATTACTATGTGTATATGGTTTTATTATAAAATGTCAATTTTTATATCGTGTATAGAGAATTAATTTTACGCAATTTCAGCATTTATTAAATTGATATACATTAATGCAATACTTATATATGTCAGTATCATTTTTGTCATTATTTTGTAAAATTATTGTGTCTTTCATTTTTTTTTCAAAATTCACTCCTTTTTACATAAATTTCCATTTAAAATCCTTAAAATTCTGACAACTATTTTTTTTTTTGTGGCAGAAAATTTTCTTTACTTTAAAGCAATATAACTACAAAATTTTAAGAATTCTACTGAGAAATGGTGACACAATCCTATTACCTTAAGCTCTAGTACATACAACATAACTACAGAAATAGTTCAAAAACATCCATTTCAAAAGTACCTTATGTAGTTTGGAGATTTTGACCATTGTTTGAGAATGTTGATCCGTCAATTTCACAATTTGTTCCATAATGAAGGATTCAGACTCCCTTGTTGAAGGATCATTCAACCACCTTTAAAAAATTAAATAAAAAGTTAGAGAAGTTTTCATGGATTAACTATTGCATACATATATGATATTGATACTGAGAGTAATTAAGATCAGTATGCTATCAAGCAAATAGTTCTATACTCTCAGGATAACATGGTCTTATTACAACACAAAAGAAAGACTCAATCATTCACCTGGGAATTTTGAGGGTGTCCCCTTTTATTTTACTCTTTATTGGTATTCTGCCAAACATAACTAATAACTGGTATTCATCTGGAGCCCATACGTTTCTTCAATGATAAACTTTTGCTTCATCAACTGATTTATATCTAACCAGTAACCATTCATTACTTACACTAACTACATCAGACACTTGGCACATGCAGTGAAATATGTGTAATGATCTCCTTCAGGGGTATGTCTCGGTGTGGGACACCTTATTGTGTATGTAGTACTCAAGAACCATTTATTGTCATCAAAGATGGGGTTCTTTTTTTAAAACAAACAAGCTATATATTTATCAATCAATGATATGAAGTGTCAACGTTTGAAGTCACATAATGGAAAAAATCTGTACCTATTCAGCGTGCGAACAGGTCCATCTAATTTCTTGCTTAGCTCCGTCAATGAAGTGCTAGTGTCTTTTTGTAGAGAAGCTAGGGTCAGCAACACCTCCCTAATATCCTCATGCTCACCTGATAATAAAATGAAAAACATGTCTATAACAACACCATGTATTTAAACTTACCGGTAAGTGGAATACTGACAGGTGACTGATTCCACAACTGTTGTAATAGTAGACATTATAAAGAAAACTTAGTATCTTATCATACTATTGGCAAGAATGAACTCATGGCAAATCTATAAAAGTCTACATTTAGAACCAACATATTACACTTGTAAGAGATAAAGCTAAAAATAAATCTTCATGTAAATTAGTGGTATGTTGCTGTGGTTTATATGAGAATATTCTCTGTTACCTCCAAGCTGTCTCAGATTTCCATCTGCCTCATCTCTTTCCTTTGCTTGTGATTTGAAGGACTTCGTGTGTGTCTGTAGTACCTTCATTACCACTTCTATCAATCTGTGGATGGAATAGCAAAATGAATTACTCATAGGTTATGACAGATGAAAAAAAAACACCACATGCTCAGGGCAAGCAGTCTAGCAGGCATTAAAAAGGCACAAGAAAATGGAATTCTAATTGTTTGCCTCATGTATATATCACAAATTATATAACTAACATGAAACAGAGCAAAATAAAATGTGTACTTTCCCTGGCAAGTATTTGAAAATTTTGCATTTGTTGGAACTTTAAAGGATTAAGCAAGTGGAATTTTACACCCCTGTAGCAATATGAATTCATCATATAAATATGGTCAGGCCAAGCAAAAAAACAAGTGTTTCCTGTAACATGTTTGAAAAATTTAGGGTAGGTACGGTAAATAAATTTAGATTTTTAAATATTTTTATACAATTAATATATACATGGGAGAGTGATCTTGACTTTAAATGTGCTTCTTTGAAAATTGTTTTAAACAGTTTAAGGTACAAGATGATTGGTGATCTAAATGTTCAATATATAATAAATGTACTGTACACTGTATACAAATTGATAAATAACAGCAACACCTTTTTTCCTGTGTTTAATCACATTCTAAAACCATATAAAAATTGAGGATCACAGAGACCTGTATATAACTGTTTATACCTCGGTACCCTCGACAGGTTCGTGTCTTGTGATTTTGGGGAAATATCACACACATATTTTTCGGGAAAATAAAGTGAGTTTGCAATGAAATTTGGAATACACATAAGAAATTATTTAGGAGAAGGGGCTTTATAATGCCAATTAAATTCAAGTGGCTTGAACAATTAAAAGTCTGGTATATTTGTAAAATACCATATGTGACAGGCTGACACAACAAGCTGTCTTGACATGACAGGAGCTAGATTTATTTGGTTGTTCCTATATTTTGATCTATGTTCAGGATGAGGACTCTTGGTTCTTCCATTGTTTTACATTCTAAAGAGAAATTAACCTTAACAAAACCAATTTGATCATAACACCGTTGACAGTGCCTATTTCCTGACTTGATAGTCTGATGTCATTTAGCATGAATCTGCCTAGTCTCACCAGTGACTCGAAGACTGTAAAGGAGTTCTTCCAATGTTTTATGACTCCCTCCAAACGCAATGAATACATGTCATATTTATAATGCAAAAACCACTTAACCCATTCAAGTTGTGTGTAAAAACTACGATCTATTGGTAGAATAATTAAAACACAACAAATTGCACAGTACAATAGGCCTACTCAGTAGGCATATATATATATATGATGAATGAATCAGCTGATCATTTGGTCTGCATTTTGTTTATCACTACTATTTTGTACCTTAGAGATGGAATCCAAATTAAACTTACCCTCTGCCGGACTCAAACTGCTTCTGAACTTCGTGCCTCATCAATATTTTGCATTGCTCTGGTAACATGGTGATTTTTGTTGACATTTTCGTTGAAATAATCAAGAGGATCTATAAACACTGCTTAACTTTCGTTGTCAGGAATATAGACTGATTGTATCGGCGCGCGCAACCAAAGTTTATGGTCACGTGAGAGTCTTTAACCAATAAAGCTACTCCGTTCTGTTGTTAAGGTAAGCTGCCACCTTTTGGAGAAAAGCCAGTACTATGACGGATAACTCTTCATGTTTTTTTTTATGCTAAAATTGGCAATTTTATCACTTCAAATCGGCTGAATCGGGTGAAGTACTTATAAAATGTATTTGATTACATTAATAAATAAATCACCACAATTTTGATGTTGCAAATATCTTAACATTGGCAAAATCCTAAACAATTTACGGCATTCATTAATTAGTCATTATAAATAAGGACTAAACGAAGTATATATAAGCCCCTGTGACGGTTAATTTTATAACCCGCGGCGATTTATAAAGTGTTGTAACTATAGGCATCTTTAATAACATGATGTATTGCACGAGTTATCGGATTTCATCACCTTCCATCCTCGAAATCCATGGGTTACGCTCATCTAGAGCGTATAGGTGGTTCGACCTAGAGCGTGGACCTTATTAGCGCAAACATTTTTAGATATGTGCGGCAAAACTTTATAAAAACCAGCAAGGTATTTTGAGTTCAAATTGTATTTACAATTTAAATTAATAGACGGCATTGATGAGTTGTAATAACTTGTGCCTAATCCTTTAGTCTACTTTTGGCAATACATATGTTTAAACTAAAAACTATCTTAGCAGTTCAGTTGACTGGGCGGGACATTAACAAAGTAGAAATAAAATCATGACCTCACTTCTTTCCAATTTTGAGAACTTTCTGTAAACCGAATAGCTACTTCCTTATGTCATACTGCACCTAGAAATGTTTGTGTGCCTATATCTGAGCTAAAAACACCGAAATTGTACGTTTGAAACTGTTACGTTAAACTTGTGTTTTTATTGTAAATAAAAACAAAAACAAACAAAAACGTACCATCAACAGCGACTACAACTGGACCTTTATTTAAATGGTAAACACGAACTTTTTGATATCTTGAAAAGCTTAAGTTTCTCGCTTTTCGAAGATGTTCACACTGTGAACATCTTCGAAAAGCGAGAAACTTAACCTTTTAAATCAAATCGGTGCCATGATGCCTTGGTGACATCATTTTAAAATTTGTTTTACAAAAAAAAAGTGACATGAATATTTTGCGTTCTCGGCCTCTTCTGGAGGCAAATAGAATACTTATTGGTGTTTTTCGAAAGGGAATTTAGACAGCTGGCAAAGAATGTTATGTACATATTTTTCAGCCATTAAGCTAACGAACATTTACTTTTGACACGTGTCAACAAAACATCCTGCAACTTTTATTTGATTGTACCGGTAAACCCTACATTTTGGTATGATTTGAAAGATACCTTTCTCGCTTCAGAAGATGTTAAGTTCATATAATTCGGATTAATGATAACTTATCGTTTAAAATTTAAATACATGTAAATAAATAAAAAGCGACTCTACCTTTTAAAAGATTAACCCTCTGTTCTTTGTATCATTTGAAACCTTTTAACTTGCCTCTATTTTTTTTTATACAAAAAAAGGGACCTGCACCTTAAAAACCAACAAATATTGCATAATGTGGCCATTTTTTCGTCGTATAACGCTGCTTACCATTGAAAAAATACCATCATAACGGCGCGAATGCATAAAATCATGAGGCCACCCTCGAAACATTACTGGAAAATTATACTTTCATATTAGCATAGAGTTAGCCGACTGGCGGTTCAATCAATCTCAACTTTATTTGTTTTACAACTATTGTCAACCAATTTTTCCATCTCAGTACTTTGATCGACAAAAGGTCTACATGTGTGAGGAAATCTTGAGTACTCCGAGAAAACGCATGTGGCTGGGCAGGTCATCCGTTACGTTTCCACGCCCGATCGTAGACTTGGACCCCGACCGACCTGGTGAAAGGCGAGTGCTACATCCTACATGTACTAGTACAACAATAACACAAAACCGTAATAGCAGCTGCCAATGTCCCTTTTCTTAGCAAATATAATTTAGTTTTCCAAGCGTATGAATACAATTCCGACCAATTAGATTAACTGGTGTTTCTAACAGGTCACACAGAGGTTCAATAAAGGGAGAAGACACAGATAAGCATGTTCACACCAGGTGAAGGTCTATTCTGTGGTGTTTTGGTGGTTTTCGAAAAAAACAATAGTCCGCCATTGCCAAGGCTTAACTGAAGCAACTACCAGCACATGTACACAAGCCACTATATATATACAAACTACATTTTTATTTTACAACAATTTTGACACAAGTAATTCCAAGTTATATCATTACTCTTGTTGACCCAGATAAAAGCGCAGTGAGGGTCTTAATGTTAAGGGGAGCAGACAATTTGGAGTGCAGGCATTGAACCCCGGCCGTCTTTGTGAAAGGGGAGTGCAATAACCACTGCGCCACCCGACCACTGTCGCATGAATTACCACAAACATGACTTGAATTATCACAAACATCAATAATTTATATTTGTCATTAACATTCACACTTCATTATCATAAACATGAACTTTATTATAGCAAATATCAAATGTCTTGGCCATTGTGACTGTGACTGTCCGGGTTGTGAGAGTCCTCAGCTAATTTGTTACTTGTCATACAGTGACGGTCTTGAGGATCAACTGTTAAAGTGCGTCTTTTCATCACATCAGGTGTGTCTTGAGGAAGCTAATTGCTCGCTGCCATGCCTCCATTTGCGCCGCTGCGTGTTCCTTGGGATATCCTCCCGACAGTAACATGTTATCTATACACAATTGTAAAGAACCACATTTAAATACAATTAACTGTTTGTAGAAATTTTAAGAGATAGATAGTTTATGAATTGTCTTTATAAAAGTATTAGGGATTATGAGACAGTCTAAGTGAAAGCAAAGAAAAACACAGTGTTTCTTCTATGAAATTCAAATCCGAACCTGGAGATTAAATTTTTCAAAAGAATACAATTGTAGCTCAAACAGATCTCAGAATTGGGTTTCTGAATAAAACGTTTTTCCAGAATTTGTCAAAATACAAATCCTAGTTGATACAATAACACTTGTGATAGTGATGGTACTTCTAACTTACTGTGCTGATGTTTCGGGTTCTTTATGTTGACTGCCAATTGGATCTTGTCAGCAGCATCAACAACTCGACACAAAGGGGTGTGGGGTGGCTCGATTAAATGCCCTGCACCCGGATATACCACAAACTCGGCCTTTTCGCGGCGGTAGTCTTGTGGCATGATTTTCTCATAAAAGTGGACATTATGTTCCATCTGGGTCATTAGATCATCGCCACCAGAAATCGTCAGGAGGCGGGCGCCATGTGTCCAGGGCTACAACAGAGATAGACTTTCTGAAATAGCAATACATTCCGACAGAAACATAGACCGATAATGAGTGTCGAGTAGTGCAAGGCACAGATGCACGGACGGATTCACAAATTTTAATAGGGTTGCGGTATGATATTTTAGGAGGCTACAAATAAAAAGTCCCCTGTGGAGACTAAAAACTGATCAACAACCCACATTGCAATTCGTTGGACATCTATCTTTTTATTTCTGTCCTACCCATTTCCAATTCAAGGTGTCTCCCTAGACACCCGTCTTTATGTAGCCTTACTCCACACTCACCTTCAAAAAAGAATCGTCAGCGACATCAAACATATTCCTTACTGACAATCCTTCCTCTGTCACTATGATTTGTGTCTCATCGATTCTGGAAATTGACGAAATAACTAATTTAGTAATAGGATATTTACTTCAAAGACGATTATTACAAATAATCTGTGCATTAACTACCACATAGATCCTATTAGATTTGAATTTCTTCTTATGTATATTCATTTTAGAGAAACTGGTAAAGGTATCCATTTCAGAGACCAGGAAAATAATGATAATTAAATATATTTTCTATTAAGTGATGTTCCTAGATTATGAGCAATTAATGTCTATGGTTTTTTAATTTGAAAACAAGGCATCACAAGTAATACCAATCCCCTCGCATGCACACATTGTGTGTCATATTTATGAGGAAACGAATAGATAATTCAATGATGTAATAGTAATTGCCCTAGCGATTGCATCTGTTGAAGGTATTGTCATGGCAAACAATTGTATCAAATCCATTGAGGAATGAAGTCGATAGAGCGATGACAAAGTTTTTCTAAAAATAGTAACAGTGAATTTGAACTTTCACGCAGTAACCCGAAATGCAAATTGTTTAAGGTATTGTCATACCAAACACTTGTTTCAAGTTTCATGAAATTCTGTTGTGGAATGCAGTCGCTAGAGCGATGACAAAGTTGTTTTCAAAAAATAGTGACAGTCACCTTGCCTTCAACGCAGTTACCCAAAACGCGAACTTATTCAAGGTATTGTCATACCAAACACTTGTATAAACAGAAATGAAGTCGCTAGAGTGTAACATACGTACAGTACTTACGGGCGCAATCCTATATCTCCTCGAACTTTAGTTGCGAGGGGATAATGAAAATTATCATGAGTTAACTCTTTCACCCCTATTTAACTTTAGTAGACTCTACCATGCATTGATATGGATGAGACCATTTGGTCTACAGTGGTGAAAGGGTAAACTACTGTATGTAAAGCATGACAGGGTGATCGAGTCCATACTTTACCTAGTATTGGACCCGTAATCCCGTCCATGATATGTCCAAAAGCGTTTAGTACTTACCTAGTATTGGACCCTTAATCCCGTCCATGATATGTCCAAAAGCGTTTAATACTTACCTAGTATTGGACCCGTAATCCCGTCCATGATATGTCCAAAAGCGTTTAATACTTACCTAGTATTGGACCCTTAATCCCGTCCATGATATGTCCAAAAGCGTTTAATACTTACCTAGTATTGGACCCTTAATCCCGTCCATGATATGTCCAAAAGCGTTTAATACTTACCTAGTATTGGACCCTTAATCCCGTCCATGATATGTCCAAAAGCGTTTAATACTTACCTAGTATTGGACCCTTAATCCCGTCCATGATATGTCCAAAAGCGTTTAATACTTACCTAGTATTGGACCCTTAATCCCGTCCATGATATGTCCAAAAGCGTTTAATACTTACCTAGTATTGGACCCTTAATCCCGTCCATGATATGTCCAAAAGCGTTTAATACTTACCTAGTATTGGACCCTTAATCCCGTCCATGATATGTCCAAAAGCGTTTAATACTTACCTAGTATTGGACCCTTAATCCCGTCCATGATATGTCCAAAAGCGTTTAATACTTACCTAGTATTGGACCCTTAATCCCGTCCATGATATGTCCAAAAGCGTTTAATACTTACCTAGTATTGGACCCTTAATCCCGTCCATGATATGTCCAAAAGCGTTTAATACTTACCTAGTATTGGACCCTTAATCCCGTCCATGATATGTCCAAAAGCGTTTAATACTTACCTAGTATTGGACCCTTAATCCCGTCCATGATATGTCCAAAAGCGTTTAATACTTACCTAGTATTGGACCCTTAATCCCGTCCATGATATGTCCAAAAGCGTTTAATACTTACCTAGTATTGGACCCTTAATCCCGTCCATGATATGTCCAAAAGCGTTTAATACTTACCTAGTATTGGACCCTTAATCCCGTCCATGATATGTCCAAAAGCGTTTAATACTTACCTAGTATTGGACCCTTAATCCCGTCCATGATATGTCCAAAAGCGTTTAATACTTACCTAGTATTGGACCCTTAATCCCGTCCATGATATGTCCAAAAGCGTTTAATACTTACCTAGTATTGGACCCTTAATCCCGTCCATGATATGTCCAAAAGCGTTTAATACTTACCTAGTATTGGACCCTTAATCCCGTCCATGATATGTCCAAAAGCGTTTAATACTTACCTAGTATTGGACCCTTAATCCCGTCCATGATATGTCCAAAAGCGTTTAATACTTACCTAGTATTGGACCCTTAATCCCGTCCATGATATGTCCAAAAGCGTTTAATACTTACCTAGTATTGGACCCTTAATCCCGTCCATGATATGTCCAAAAGCGTTTAATACTTACCTAGTATTGGACCCTTAATCCCGTCCATGATATGTCCAAAAGCGTTTAATACTTACCTAGTATTGGACCCTTAATCCCGTCCATGATATGTCCAAAAGCGTTTAATACTTACCTAGTATTGGACCCTTAATCCCGTCCATGATATGTCCAAAAGCGTTTAATACTTACCTAGTATTGGACCCTTAATCCCGTCCATGATATGTCCAAAAGCGTTTAATACTTACCTAGTATTGGACCCTTAATCCCGTCCATGATATGTCCAAAAGCGTTTAATACTTACCTAGTATTGGACCCTTAATCCCGTCCATGATATGTCCAAAAGCGTTTAATACTTACCTAGTATTGGACCCTTAATCCCGTCCATGATATGTCCAAAAGCGTTTAATACTTACCTAGTATTGGACCCTTAATCCCGTCCATGATATGTCCAAAAGCGTTTAATACTTACCTAGTATTGGACCCTTAATCCCGTCCATGATATGTCCAAAAGCGTTTAATACTTACCTAGTATTGGACCCTTAATCCCGTCCATGATATGTCCAAAAGCGTTTAATACTTACCTAGTATTGGACCCTTAATCCCGTCCATGATATGTCCAAAAGCGTTTAATACTTACCTAGTATTGGACCCTTAATCCCGTCCATGATATGTCCAAAAGCGTTTAATACTTACCTAGTATTGGACCCTTAATCCCGTCCATGATATGTCCAAAAGCGTTTAATACTTACCTAGTATTGGACCCTTAATCCCGACCATGATATGTCCAAAAGCGGTTAGTACTTACCTAGTATTGGACCCTTAATCCCGTCCATGATATGTCCAAAAGCGTTTAATACTTACCTAGTATTGGACCCGTAATCCCGACCATGATATGTCCAAAAGCGTTAAATACTTACCTTGTATTGGACCCGTAATCCTGACAATGATATGTCCAAAAGCGGTTAGTACCTTATCTAGTATTGAACCCTTAATCCCGACCATGATATGTCCAAAAGCGGTTAGTACCTTACCTAGGATTTGACCCTTAATCCCGACCATGATATGTCCAAAACCGGTTAGTACCTTACCTAGGATTGGACCCGTGATCCCGTTCATGATATGTCAAAAAGCGGTTAGTACCTTACCTAGTATTGGACCCGTGATCCCGTCCAGGATATGTCCAAAAGCGGTTAATACTTACCTAGTATTTGACCCTTAATCCCGTCCATGATATGTCCAAAAGCGGTTAGTACTTTACCTAGTATTGGACCCGTGATCCCGTTCATGATATGTCAAAAAGCGTTTAATACTTACCTAGTACTGGACCCGTAATCCCGACCATGATATGTCCAAAAGCGTTTAATACTTATCTAGTATTGGACCCGTGATCCCGTCCATGATATGTCCAAAAGCGGTTATTACCTTACCTAGTATCGGACCCATACTCCCGTCCATGATATGTCCAAAAGCTGTTAGTACTTTACCTAGTATTGGACCCTTAATCCCGACCATGATATGTCCAAAAGCGTTTAATACTTATCTAGATGTCCAAAAGCGTTTAATACTTACTTAGTATTGGATCCGTAATCCCGTCCATGATATGGCCAAAAGCGGTTAGTACCTTACCTAGTATTGGACCCGTGATCCCGTCCATGATATGTCCAAAAGCGTTTAATACTTACCTAGTATTGGATCCGTAATCCCGTCCATGATATGTCCAAAAGCGGTTAGTACCTTACCTAGTATTGGGCTCATACTCCCGACCGTGATATGTCCAAAAGCGGATAGAACTTTACCTAGTATTGGACTCATACTCCCGTCCGTGATATGTCCAAAAGCGGTTAGTACCTTACCTAGTATTGGACCCGTGATCCCGTCCATGATATGTCCAAAAGCTCTTAGTACCTTACCTAGTATTGGACTCATACTCCCGACCGTGATATGTCCAAAAGCGGTTAGTACTTTACCTAGTATTGGACTCATACTCCCGACCGTGATATGTCCAAAAGCGGTTAGTACTTTACCTAGTATTGGACTCATACTCCCGTCCGTGATATGTCCAAAAGCGGTTAGTACCTTACCTAGTATTGGACCCATACTCCCGTCCATGATATGTCCAAAAGCGTTTAATACTTACCTAGTATTGGATCCGTAATCCCGTCCATGATATGGCCAAAAGCGGTTAGTACCTTACCTAGTATTGGACCCATACTCCCGTCCATGATATGTCCAAAAGCGTTTAATACTTACCTAGTATTGGACCCGTAATCCCGACCATGATATGTCCAAAAGCGGTTAGTACCTTACCTAGTATTGGGCTCATACTCCCGACCGTGATATGTCCAAAAGCGGATAGAACTTTACCTAGTATTGGACTCATACTCCCGTCCGTGATATGTCCAAAAGCGGTTAGTACCTTACCTAGTATTGGGCTCATACTCCCGACCGTGATATGTCCAAAAGCGGATAGTACTTTACCTAGTATTGGACTCATACTCCCGACCGTGATATGTCCAAAAGCGGTTAGCATATGGCATTCCATTAATGTTGACGACTGCTCTGATCTGAAATAAAGCAACTGTGTATCTACACTAACGGGTTCAGCATGAATCTGCGTCATTTACATCCGAAAAAGGAATTTATTAAAAGTGAGTAACAGTTGGCAAGAGATAGTTAATGAATGGTACGATCTTACTTTTCAAAGCATATCCTTAACCCTACTACCATTTTATTTTATGTTTCTCCTTCTCAGTCGATAGCACAAACATAAACATGATGATCACGAGTTCTTATTTTAAAAAAGGAATCGTTTACACATTCACATATATTAAATTTTCCACAAGATATGCATCAAATCAGACTTCAACGGCAACTATGTATACACTTGAACTACATGTAGTAAGATGCCTTTTGACGCTCGGAAGAGTTTCCACTATTGCTATCAACTGTGGTATAAACTAAGTATACGTACGTTCGGAATAGTCTGCGCCATCCACAATGCCACGGTTCCTCCAAGACACAAAGACAATATGCCCACGCCATCAGACCGCACTTCTGGTAATTTAGCGAACCATTCCGCCGCTTCCTGTTAGTTCAAATTAAACAGACTTTATTATTGTTCTATTAAAGATCCCTGTCCAACTGCACAGTTTTCTTTTTTCGTATTTACAGTATCTCCCCTTCATTTCGTTGCCGACATTACCATGGCATATTACAGCCAGGACATTTTCATTGACCGGGTAGCTTAGTCGGTTAGAGCAACAGCATAACAATCCGGAGTTCAGTTCACACTTAGCACACTGTTATTACTTATATTTTGTTTACTTTAATTTGTTACTTGTTTTCATTAAAAGTCCCGCAATTAAGGTATGTTTTTCTTCAATCTGAATAAATACAGCTGTTCATTATCACGTACCGCATGATAGCCGTAGGTATTTTTTATTAACATCTGATTTTAATGAGATTGGGTTTTCTTCTATTGGTATGCCGCGAAAATACGTGAAATTTGTATCGTCGTATTTTTTATCGTCCTGACTGTTAATTTCCCAATCAATTGGTTGGTTTATTTTCTTATTCGCCCCATCACTAAATTACTAAATTAAGGTGACATATCTGTTCGATATCTTAATCGACTACTCTAATCAACCATGCTGAGCAGGTCAGAAAGTAAATCCTACAATGTCATATATTGAGCTAAACATACCATGTTCCTTACAAATCTGAAGCCGAAATATCTGCGTTTTTGCCGTACATACGAACTCCACTAGTTACCCATTTGTTATTTGTTTCGGGTTTCTTCTACATCAAACGTTGATTCTATTATAAAGTCTTCGTTATCGCTTGGTACTTTATAGTCACCTCCAAATAGCTGAGTTCGATATCCACCAATGTCTGTGGCAGACCCTTCCCGTGCACGTAGGACAAGGACATAGTGGCGAACCCCCGGGATGCAAGGAGAGCCGCCCGTCCCTCCACGATAGTCACCAGGCCGCCGTACATATCTACTACCCCCGGGAATGGACCAGGCCCTGCGGTACAAGATACTTGATTAATCAATACATGTAACCAATCGGGAAGCCATCGATGCCCAAATCACAGCATCAATTAGGGTATCAGCCATCTAACTGTTCCGTCAATATAAAGACCAGCGTTTCGTATACTGACAGCATTGGAAGTTAAAGATTCCTTCGCGTAATAACCAGAAGTTTATATGCAGGGCACATTGGCAAGACATAGACTGACCCCATAATCAGACTAATAAAGCAAACATCGAATACTGGCTCTTTCGAATACCTTAATGATCTCATGGATTAAAACTGAGAACAGTAAATACACAACCTTTTGTGAAATACTTACCTTCTGGTAGGAAGAGAGTGCCTTGTATTCTGGGGTGATCTATGGGTATTCGTCTTGTATTTTGAGATTTGTACCATCGTTTGTGTTCAACTGATGCTAAAACGTTTGTTTTATTTTTGAGGTAGTCCCAAGGACTGTCTGATTCTGGGAACACACTGAAGGTAATTATCCTTGGTTTGATAGCTCTGGTTTGGAACATGCGCAGGTGTGACGGTAACCATGGCGCTGCCACCATACTCCAAATTAAACCGCAAGGGTCCGCTTCTGTAGATAAAACAGCAATTAGGAATAACACAGGAATGAAAAAAAACCCAAGGGAAATAGTCCAGAAAAATCATTATAAGTAACGCATGATTCTCCGTAATTCAACAATTATAGGTAGCCGACAACATCTCCGTTGAATTTGGCGGAAGAATATTGCAACAGTAACACTAGCCTTCCCTGAATATGACCTTCATATGTTTCTGTTACATTACTACTCCAGATTCTAATCAAAACTACAAGATTCCCTTATGACCAATCAATTAAAAGGGTCGGCGTTTTTAAAAGTCGTCATGATAAGTTCAGTTTTATCATCACTTTAAGATTAGCTCTATTGTGCAAGTTGATGATGTACAGTACTTATTAATACAACAATACAATCATACCATCATAACTGCCGTTGATTGGTGTATCTGTGCTCAAATCTACAACACCTCCATCATTGGCACGAAACAAACCATGTGACCAGAAAAGGTTTTCGTCATGTACTGCCGTTGCTATGACAGTGACCCTGTCGTTAGGAGGCAGTCCCGTAACCTTGACAACAACATTTTCGTCCACCAGACACTCGGGCTTGTCCACGCTCAGTCTAACACCAGGACTGGATGACGTCATTAGTCCCATCGATTGTGTACAGGAAAATTTGTACTTCTGTGACAGCCGTGGACATACAACATGCTCATTGGCCAATAAACGCACAAGTCGCCGCGTTGTCTTCCGAGTCTGCAAATCATTAAACATTTTGTACTATTGTTTTACGTTTTAAATACCGACATCAACCCTGTTAGTTTAAACTTATCTTATTGCAATATAATTACAAAAGGATTGGACACAAGTTATTGCAACTTATAAACGCCCTTTCCATAATGGTATACAACATAAAAATATAATGCAATTTCTAATAATACATAAATTAATTTACAACAAACACATACTCCAGAGAGAGAGAGAGAGAGAGAGAGAGAGATTTTAGTCGGAATCACTTCAAGATAACAAACTTATAACAATGTTATATAACAAACTTATCAAGCTTATAACAATGTAATCAACCCTGTAAGCTATGTTCCCTGCGATCTCTATTTCCCAATATCACACAAAACTGTTGGGTATCAAATACACTTTTTTTTTTGTAGAACAATGATACAAAACTTTAAGACTCATTTTTAAAAACTGACCCCACAGAGCTCATTTATCTCATTCTATTTTTATCACAAAGTATACACGTATGTCCCTGCTTTCATCGATGTCATTATTTTGGATTGGTTTTGTTGTTAAAGATTGCTTTGATGTTTTCAGGGGATTATCCGGGTCTTAAATTGAAACAAATAATCGAAAACACCCACAAACATGTCGGCTTCTGTGTTATTGCTTCATACTGCCCAGAACATCTCGGTCACAAGACTGAGAAGGAGCAAAGAAAGTTTCATCCTCGGTTACTCCAGGGGTTTCTCTCACGTCGCTCCCTGCATCCCTGGAATACATCATAGCAAAATTGAAGTCACGCGGCTACTACTTGATTGGTCTCCGGCAAATAATGACCTGACTAATCGCCACGCTGATATCATTTGAAGATTACAGACATCCGACTTAAAAGCCAGTCAATTTAACTGTTATGCGACCGCAAGATATTTTTGATGCACATCGAATGATCAAACTAGTCTTCTTGTCTCATCCATAATGTGACGACAACAGAGCCTTCAATTTTGTTATGACATGTTCCATGAGTGCAGAGTGCGAAAGTAAGCGTAACCCCTGGAGTATCGAGGATGAGAAAGTTCGTATACCTCTCGTTATAATATTCAACCATCCTTAAATTCGGTTTTGGTCGGGGATGACACTTCCTGTATTCATCAATGTCTCACCGTTGAATTGTTGTTTTTTTTTTTTTTTTTTTTTTTTTATAATATTTCATTGTATAGGTGTTATATACAGAAGGAAATGAGGAGCAGGCAAAACCTGTGCCTTCTCAACCTTTACAATGATAAATAAAGCATTGGTAGTGAGGATATAAAGAATATACATATTAACTTGAGTGAATAATGTTTTTTCGTGCTAAATATGACTACGAATTGTCACAGCTATAGTAGTATACAATGAATGTCACAAACAATAGCCAACCAGTCATACACATGTAACAAAGTCGGTTCCGTTGAGTTCAAGTTCTTTATTTTATGAATATATGTAGAAATATTCTTTTCCGCATCTCTTGTTATAATAATATACAACATTTATATAGCGCCCTATATAATTTGTAAAATTACTCTAATGCGCTTTACAACATATGGATAATAGTAATGGTTATAATTGTGAAAACAAACAACAAAGGCTTGCAATCACTTTCATACATTTAACAAGCAATGTGCACATAATTGAACAAAAAAAAGGGGGGTATTTACATGACGTCTTTGCCAAGATTCTAAAATGCAGACGTGAAGAGGTGAGTTTTTATGTCCCTCTTGAACTTGGCCAGGGTATTTGACTTCCTAATAGCAGATGGTAAGCTATTCCACAACGTAGCCGAAACCCTACCAAAGCATCTGTTTCCGTAGGTCACAGTACGAGATTTTGGGACACACAACAAAGATTCTGACTCCGACCGCATTGATCTTGACGGCTGATACAGGGTAACAAGCTCCTGTAGGTACTGAGGAGCTGTTCCATTCAGTGCCTTGTATGTGTATACCAGAATTTTGTACTGCGACCTGTATCGTACAGGTAACCAATGCAACGAATAAAGCGCAGGTGTGATGTGCTCTCTCTTTCGAGTGCGAGTAACTAGCCGTGCTGCAGTGTTCTGGACCCTCTGCAGACGACTAGTTAGTTTGTCAGATATACCACAGAGCAGGGCGTTACCATAATCCAACCGAGAGGTAACAAGTGAATGCACCAAAAACTTGCATGCATCTGCAGTTAGAAACTGCCGAATACAGCCGCAGTTATGCATGGCCAATAACATCTGCCCTACATAAGCGAAATAAATATTTCCTGTCTGGGGTGTTCAGCGTCATTGTCAAGTCCTCTGAGCCTTCTGGATGGAAAACATTGCAATTTGGCATTGTCGTCTGTAGTTTTCTCACCTAATAACACTCGCATCATCAAGCTCCAACACATTGTGAACAGCTGCGTGTGTTCCCTCATCCTCGATACTCGATACTCCAGGGGTTACGCTCTCTGCACCCGATGAATATGTCATAGCAAAATTGAAGACACGCGGTTAGGTATTTGATTGATTTCAGGTAAGGAAAAACCTGACCATCGCTAGTCTGATACCTGTCCTTTGAGCAAAGCCAGTCAATTTTACAGTTATGCGTCCGAGATATCCTTTTTGATGTACATCAAATTATCAAACTAGTCTTCTTGTTTCAATCACAAGGTGGTGCACACTGATCCTTCGATTTTGCTATCACACATTCCAGGGTTGCAGAGAGCGTAATTGAGCGTAACCCCTGGAGTATATAGGTGTTCCCTGGTCATAGACAACTGTTGACATCTCAGTTACCTGTCGTTGGTCACTAGTGCGATATATCCATTCATGGTCGGAAGACTCGATCATCACGCTGAGACTGTCGCCAATCCCGAGGTATCACACCTTCAAACGAACTCACTTCAGGGTCAAAGAGCACATCTACGCGACGACCAACAGACTCTCTCCATTCTAGTTTTGCTGAGGAGTGACAGACTAACAAACAACTTGGTTGATTTTTACAATAGAATGATGTGGAAGGTTATGATTTAAGTCCACTTCAAACGGATACTGTAAGTTTTGACAAAACATCTGCGTCATTGTACGAAATTTCAAAACCAAATGAAGACAATATGGCATCCATCTATGTCCAGTAGCATTCAGTTTTGCAGGGGTCGAAACTTAGCTGAGTGGTTTGTTCATTGTGGAAGTCGTTATACATTTTCAGTAACTGCCCATTTCAACGCAGGCAGGAATTCCAGTTTGTGCTGCGGATATTTTTGTTCAGACTTGCTTCGTCCACGGCAATCTCTACCCAGAGTTGTCGATCCTTACACCACCTACATATAAGTAAGTGTAAAGAACGACATATCTGGGTAGAGATTGTTCGAAGCTCATATTGTCGTTGATACAACATGGTACAAAATCCTCTTCTACAAGCATCTAGGTGCAGATCGAATATTGCGTTGTACTGTGCATATCCTAGGACGGCTGGTGATACCAATTAGTCCATCATTTTCAAAAAAAGAATGTGTTTTGTTCGATACCCAAATGCAATGATGGTGGGTTCTGTAGTTTTTTTCCTGTCTCTGTTTTTCTTAACAAATTCACAGAGTGAATTGTTCAAATGCTTGACTGTCTTGGATAATATCATGATTACACAAGAACTGTTGGCCAGCAACTGTATTAGTGATGTAAAGAGGACAACCGCAAAGTGGGCTAGATCGATCGTAGTGTAAAATTATCTGAATCTTCCTTCAGACAAACAAATTTTGGCAGTTGGCAGTTTGGGTAGCCCAAACAAATACGAATGAAGGAAGGAACCGATAATTTCGTGCTATTTTTGTCTCCTGGAATCAGGTATACGGATGGTGATAGTGGGTCACGATACCTAATTCCAGTGCACTGCAAACCTTCTGACTAATGATTAAAATACTTATGAAACATAAACAGAAAAAGTACTGTAAATATAAGGATTAGCTTTCTGTTGGTCAAGTTATAAGATGATAACTCAAGTTAAGCATGTGTAAATTGAATGGATTGCTTGAATAGATGTGGCTTCACGATCTGTTCAATTTACAGGTGAATAGATGTGGCTTCACGATCTGTTCAATTTACACGTGCTCACTAGATCTTCCTTTGCTGAGTAAGTTGGAACGGTTATGAAAAAATCGCAAGTTTTCTGGAACGGGGTCGCTTTACTAGGTAGGGAACGGCCCGGGTTAGCAACTTTGATAATATTATGGATGTATTGACAGACGGGGCTAGTATATGTGGTCTATCACTTCATTTACATGACATTTACTGCGCAAAATATCCACAATCATATGCGAAAATCTTTATTCGTGCGCTGAAATAAATTAAAAGATGGAAATTTAAATCCGTTCAAGGTATGATATAAGATTACGTGGTTTGTTGTTTAACCTTGTTGATTTCGTAGTTAGTTTCATATATCACATGAAAATATGTACATGTATCATCATTCTGGACATCCTTTCATTGTCTTTTTCATTAATAGTCACTGCATCGATCACTCCATTAAAAGATGTATTAGGAAAGTATTTACTCAAGGCTGCGCATGTGCTCAAAACTAATATGAGACCTATGAGAAGTTCTTTTTACACAAACAATCAAATTTTCTATGTGACGTTTCGATGACTCATGTACTCGTCAGTTTAGAAATAATATGACATTTTTCAGATAAAAACGCCAGAAGTCAGTGTGGTCTCATTGAGGTTATGGCTTTGAAATATACTGAAGATCAGGTAATAAGATAACAATGAAGGACGAAATTGATTCTGGCGTGCCGTTTTATTCATGCTTGTGACGTAATTGGTTCACTTCAAGTACCATGTACTTGGTTCACTTAACATATACACATACTTGTGTATAGTACGAGCGTTGTAATAAAATAGAGTCTTCGACAAGTCTTGTCTGCTGGTCGTTTCTGTGCTTACCTTACACCGGCACGCTAGAATCAAGTTCCCCCTATTTTTGAATGCGCTTACGCACAATACAGCTTAAAATGATAATGTCTCCCTAGGTGTGCAATCCATGCCTCACTGACCTAATCTATGTCATTTTATCGCAGGGAGTTCGTGTACGGACAACGGTCATTCGGAGCAATTAATAGCACGTGTATACAGTACACACAAACATACACACATAATAAAACCTGCATAGATTAACTTACATGTGAGTAAATCTCGGCGCGTCGTAAACACGCTGTTAAAACTGGACTCAAGGCTGACATCGTCAATCTCCCCATGCAGCAGTGTCCAGCTTTACAAAGTCTCAAAGCTCAGTCTCCGTAAACGTGTCATCCCATGGCTAAAGTTGTAATGACACTGGGTTACGGTACTTGAGCTGCGTTTACAAGCGATTCGTGTAATCTCTGACAGCCCGCGTCTAGAAGTATAACATTATCAAAGTACTGGAAGTACTGGCGGTGGATCGTAAACTCTGGTCATTTTAATGAACCTCTGGGTGTACCGTGTTAACTTCTATTCCTTGCTGAATGTTAATTTTATATTTTTTAAACGTTTATTTATTCTAATATTTCTGTTTTTGCAAATATATTCCTACTAGCATATAACGGTAGCCCGGCCTGGCTGTGCCCATTTGCCTCGAGCTTCCCGGTAATAAACAGGAAAATGCTGGGATGAAAATTGACATGTCATTGAATTGTGTACAACTAACTTATGCTGATAAATAATTAATTCTGAGGTGATTTAATAAGTTTTAAACACGAACTTATAGAATCTTATTATTTGGTTACAAGTTCATGGAAGAATGTTATATTATAGACTCTAGGCCTACCGTTACACTTTTTTTTTAAACTTACACAACCACGGGACAACGTTTTCTTTCAAAAGAAATATTCATGACATTGAACACTTTTCCAAATGTTTTTATAAAGTGCATGCATGCATTTACATATCAAAGAAAAAAAGAAGACAAAATAAAACAAGTTTGTTAGATTCATTAGTAAAACTCTGTGACTTCTGGTTTTTCCTTTGGCCACTTTATTCAAGCACCTCGCCCAATACAGGTTTTTTCATGGACCCCATATATTTCCGTATACCCCCTGCAAGTGACTATGTAACTAATATTATACTCCACCTGGGTTGTTTGAGTTGTGTATGCAGGAAAAAAAACACTTTCTCTGAATATTCCATGCGTACGACGACTTCGGGGATCAAGTCCCGCCCCCTGAGTGAAAGGGAGGAGTGTTAACAACTCGACTAATCCGCCCAATTGCTTAATCCATTTAAATAATGTATTATCTTATAAGGTCCGACTTTATGATATTTTCCGTTCAAACATATGGAGCGTATTAGTAAGAAATCGAAGTCGAATATGAGACCAAACCAATGCATAACTTGGCCGTTCTAAAAATATTGTAACGTGACGGGGAGGAGGGTTCCAGAATACAACATTTCACAGCAGAGTTCTATTTACAAGTTTATTTACACTTTATATACAACGTACAACATCACGGTCAGCATAGTCAAGAACAACACCTGAGATAATCCCCTAGCTAATTTACCTCAGCTAAACTATACAGGAGACAGCCTAATCACGTCTGTCCTCCACTAGATCACTCCCCTTTCTTCCCGGACCCCACGCTGGTCTCTCTCAGCTATTACTCCTAGGTGTACCTCAGAGGTCAGCCCTGTAGCAGTGACAGCTCCCATGACCTTAAAGGTCAACTCTCCGGCTCAGCCATGTGCCAGCCTGCCCGCTATCAGTATGGTCCCCCCTCCCGGTGTCAATTAAAGCCTGTACTAAATGCATGCCCCATCATCCTTATCAACCCATTACTCTAAACACAATATACACGATTAGGGATATACAAACACCAATTTATCACACTGCCCCCTCCTTGAAAAAGACATGTGACCCACATGTGTCCTGTCTGAAACTTATTCCAGTTTCCCCTTCCTAAGTACGGAGGCCCAGTGATACCTACGAATCTACAAACGTACAATTTTTACAAAAATGAACTGCTACACTATAATACAAAATATCTCAAAAATGTGAATCTACAATACTTAACATCTATGAACTACCACAAGTACTTAACCAATTCCCACTGTCTATCTTTCAGTCACTCTCTCGTATCACCAACACTTGTGTCCAGGTTAAATGTTCAAATATATCCATATCTGTCCGGAGGTCTACTTAACCTCTTACCACGTCCATAAGCGCATTCACTGTCATCATCTGTAATACTTCCATGCTCTGAGGCAAAGTCTTTGTCGTCAGGAAAATTGCTCTCCCCTAAGACTTTTTCCTGTGTAGTTAACCAGTTTTTATAGTCACCATGGTACGATTTCAAACGATTGAAATGTACAACGCGAGGTTTCGAACTCGGAGTCTTTTGTATACGGAAAACCAAGTCACTTAGGCAGTTCACGATAAGGTACGGACCATCCCAGTTGGATTGAAGTTTAGGACTTATCCCAACCCTCCGTTTTGGATCATGAAGCCACACCGCGTCCCCAGTTTTATATGACTTTGTGTTCGTCCTGTAATCATAGTGTCCCTTTTGTTTTTCTGACGAGTCTTTTATATTCTGTCTTGCCAAATCATGTGCACTGTCGAGGTACTTGACGAGTTTTGACACAAACTGAGGTACACTACCGTTATTGTCCGCTTCCCTCGGCAGGGTGCCGTAGATTAAATCCACAGGAAGACGAACCTCGCGTCCCAACATCATTTCGTTCGGTGAGAACTTTGTTGATGAATGCTCCGCACTACGGTAAGCCATAAGTGCCATGGGAAGAATCTCATCCCAGTCCTTCTGCTCACGTGACACAAATGTTGCCAAAATGTTTTCAACGGTTCGATTGAATCTCTCAATCATTCCATCAGATTGAGGGTGGAGAGCCGTCGTGCGCGTTTTCTCGATACCAAGAAGACGACACATCTCCCGAAATAAGATTGATTCAAAATTGCGGCCTTGGTCGGAATGTATCAGCATAGGAACACCAAACCGGCAGATAAACTGTTCCACTAATGCTGTAGCCACAGTTTCCGCCTCTTGGTCCGGGATAGGGTAAGCCTCAATCCATTTTGTGAAATAGTCGCCAATGACCAAGACATATTTGTTTCCTCGGTCAGACACAGGTAGTGGTCCCATAATGTCCAAAGCTACGCGCTCCATTGGTGCGCCAACATTATAAATTTTCATAGGGGCCCTTGGTGTTTTGTATGGTCGTTTCCTTGCTGAACATTGCTCACAACATCGACACCACTGCTTAACACTACTGCTTATCCCTGGCCAATAGAACCTTTCTTTCACTCTAGACAGAGTCTTGTTTACACCAAGATGGCCAGCTGTAACCGCATTGTGCAAATTTGTCAGCACATCCTCACGGTACTCTGACGGCACGATCAGCTGCCATGACACACGCTTCCCTGTGTCATCTTCCCACCTACGGTGCAACATTCCATCTTTAAGTTCAAGTCTCGTCCATTGGGACCAGAGTGTTTTCACTGCGGTGCTCTCCGTTGATACATCTTCCCACTTTGGCCGGTCCTGAGAGGTCTCCATGTATCTAATGATGGAGCCAATGTCTTTATCGTGTCTTTGTGCACGTGTCATCTCAGCCAGTGAGATTCCACCAATCCATGTAGTGGGTCTGCGTACTGGCTTCCGTACTGCATCACATCTCATATATTGCTTTAACACAGGTTTACCATACTTGTGATCAGCGTTATCACAAAATGAGCAGTCAGTACATGGCCTACGCGACAGACCATCTGCATTTTGGTGCTTAGACCCGCTTCTATGAATTATATCATAGTCATAGGTTCCTAGCGTCTCTATCCATCTAGCAAGCTGTCCTTCAATGTCCTTAAAATTTGTCAACCACCGTAAAGAGCCGTGATCGGTACGGATTGTGAAATGGCGTCCAAACAAATAACAATGGAAATGTTTGACGGAGCTTACTACAGCTAGCAGTTCCTTTCGCGTCACACAATATCTCCGTTCAGCCTTTGTGAGTGCACGACTATAGTACGCAATCACCTTTTCGTGACCTCCCTGTATCTGACTTAGGACAGCGCCTACAGCATCGTTACTGGCATCCGTGTCAAGGATGAACGCGGATCCAGAAGGGTCTGGATAGGCTAATATCGGACTCGTTGTCAATTTTGTTTTTAATGTAGCAAAGGCCTCAGCACACTTGTCAGTCCATGCAAATACACGGTCCTTCTCAGTCAATGCATTTAAAGGTCGAGCAATCTCGGCAAAACCTTTAATGAACTTTCTGTAGTATGAACATAGGCCCACAAAGCTTCGCACATCGCTGACGCACGTAGGTATAGGCCAGTCACGAACTGCCCGTGTCTTAGATGGTTCTGCACTGATTCCCTCCCCGGAGACTATATGACCCAGGTAGGTCACCCTTTTTTTGAATAACTGACATTTGCTCGGACCGAGTTTTAATCCACCCGACTGTAACCGGTCAAACACACCTCCCAAACGTTCTAAGGTGGTGTTCACATCCCGACCAAACACAATCACGTCGTCAAGGTAAACTAAACACGTTTTCCATGAAAGACCCTCTAACACTTTTGACATCAGTCTTTCAAACGTAGCCGGAGCGTTGCAAAGTCCGAATGGCATGACCTTGAACTGGTACAATCCATTTTCCGTTGCAAACGCAGTTACCTCACGATCTTTTGGGTCCATTGCCACCTGCCAGTATCCACTTTGTAAATCCAGGGTACAGAACCATTTCGCATTGACTAGCGCGTCCAACTTGTCATCGATTCGCGACATGGGAAAGGAATCTTTCTTTGTAATGTTATTGACCTTCCTATAGTCCACGCAAAATCGCATTGAGCCATCCTTCTTTTTGACTAAAACAATTGGCGACGCCCATGGGCTAGATGAAGGCTCAATCACGTCCTGATTGATCATACTGTCAACTTGATTGGCCGATTCCTCCCTTTGAGCAAAAGGTAAGCGCCTCGGACGCTGGCGAATAGGTGCACTGTTTTGAGTGTCAATGGTGTGTTTAACCATCGTTGTGTGGCCAAGGTCGCGTTTGTCTTTCGCGAACACGTTTTGATAACGTATCAGAAAATTTTGCAAGTCTCGTGTTTGTTCTTCATCGAGATTAGCGGAAGATTCACGATGCAGGTTCTCCAAATGTGACGGAATAGACATCCTATCCCCTTCGTAAGACACACTTGTATCTGTTCCTTCTACCGCTATGGCCTCACAAGTTGCTGCTATTGTATTCTTATAAAGCTTAACGGGCGACGCGGACATGTTGAGAACACAAATAGGCACGCGGTCGTCTGCCGTATTGACAACAGCTTTTGCGAGAAGTAACCCATATTTCTTAATGAGTTGGTCTGTTGGCACTAGCATGCCACATAAAGGAG